GGCTACGGATGCTTGGTCTTATATTCGACGTCCTACCCGCATTAACGATGCTATAGCAATCTAGCTTATGTGCACGTTGGTCCTCACGCAATTCAGCGACTTAGAGTACAACGAATATCGTGAGCGATCTAGTTGGAGAACATCTGTAGTTACTTGTGGTCTGCTACGCTTGCAAAACTACGAAGCCTCGTCCTTTCTGTTTGTTCAACTTTTTTCTCGCTGATGCACGCACTCGGTGTGCAAGATTAGTTCAATGTGTTCATATTTATCATATGTGAATCGAAGTGTATGGTGTGTCAAATGAACCCGCATAGGAAGCGACAATTATATGAGTATCATCAGCAATCGTTTCTCAATCGCAACTACGCCAGGTTCGAAGATTCCTCCTTCTCTCCTTCGCGCAGAATGCATCTATTTTTGAGTATGAGAAATTGAGCTACTTGGGCATGGTCATAATTCGATTTGCGCACAGAGATATCAAGAGGAAGTTGGTCAAGCGTCTTGTTGTCGCGGAACATGAATCAACACTTCGTGAAGCAAGGTAATGCAATTTGTCTTGTAATCGATCGACTTCTATGAACGATCAAGAAAGCCTGAAACCTGATACCATGCGTCAGACTTCGGCATGTGTTTTGACATCGTCCTGTAGAAATATTGCGGTCGTATGTTTTGTCGTCAGGGTCGGAGACGCAAGACAATACGTTCCTGGTGACTGATTCAAGTAGAATCGGAAGGAGCAAATCTGCCCTACGATCGAATACTTTTACGGTAATGTATCTGCTTTTGTATGACGTCTTTGCGCATCTGTGAATGGATGGCGATGGATTGTTTTGTGACGGAAAAGAGATCAGCACTTTTGCAAGGTGAAAAACTGTGCGTATTAAAGACGTCCCACCGCGGCATGAAAGTCTCTTGGTATTTTTTAGGTACGGAGTGTAACTTCCAACCACCTTCCTCTTTGGTAGGGCCTACACGTATGTTGACCGACTCGCGGCCCGCGCGACGGGCCTGTTACTGGCCGGATTTCTATGTGCGAGCCAGCCCTGGAGGCAGCGACTGTTCGTTGGCGGGGGCTCATTCTCTTTCGAGAGGCTACAGCTCAATGGTAGCAGGATTCCCGGGTGGGATGATTCAGACTTAGGTGGTTGCACGTATTTCTTAGGACCTTGGGTTGGTCCTTAAAGACCATGGGAAAGGATTGAGTCCAGGCCACTTTGTTAGCTGGTGCTGGGCTGACTATTGCACAGGTTGGGAACCCAACGATTCTTTTGAGATGTGAAAAACAAGCACTCGTAACAGTCGTCCACCCCCACCACGCACGTCTCATGTCGAGATCTTGTCAACTTGCAAACGGGTTACACTCCGAAGGATAATACGACCTGAAGACTTTGCCGCACAAATGTGTGTTCGGCACTGATCGAACCTTATGCAAGCACAACCCCCCCGTATACAATAGAGCCTGATCATAGCAGTCGTTTACGTACACTTACAAGTTAACACGATGAAATTCGTCTTGCCTAGAGTGTTCGCGATCTAACAAATGACTTGCTCCTGTGTCTCTTTCAGCAGATTTGGGTAAGATCACGTCGCCCGCCATGTTGGCAGACCATCGGTTACCACAACTATTCCGTATCGGCAGCAGATTGGACATGGTCCGTCAATTGAGGTCGTGGAAATCAGACATACCCATGCGAAATGATGTTATTACCGGCCGGCACGTTGAAGCATTCATGGGCACTGTGCACTGATAGTGGCAGCTGCACTAGAAAGAGTCAATATCTATGATGCCACATCTAGTGCGTGTGATGCAAACGAAGGATAGCATCAGATGCTGATAAAAAAGGCTTGAAGGGATAGCATCAGATGCTGATGAAAAAAAGGCTTGAAGGGATCGTGTTTTTTCGAATTGCGATCGACTGATGAAGAAGAAGAGCGTGACGCGCTGCTAGACGTCAGGCGTGGCCTTACAATGTATCTGCCGGAAGATGCTCGTCGTAGGCCTTGCCACCAATTACGGCTTCCACTGGTTGTGTTTTATACTACCGGCTTCTGATTTGAAAGTCCCTACGTTATCGAATGGACTTGACTTTTCTTGATGGTGACGTCCACGTGAGCCACACTGCCCACCGCAGAACGTTTCGGGAGAACATCGGCCTACTTTCGACCGCATTGATCGATAACCTGATCAAGTGGACTGCGAGACGTCCGGACGGCACGAGTTTTTTTATATATGCTCGGCATGTCGTAGTGAACTTCGGTAATAGCTCCTCCTACGTCCGAGCGTTTTCAGCATCCGGAAGATAGTTTTCCTACAAGTCTGAGACCCTTCGTAGTTATCAATGATCTGGGCCTTCACACTTACTTCATGACCAAGATACCGTCTCGTGTGATTCTTGGCTCTTTGTGCGGACTGCTACCTTTGCAAGGTTTCATGTTCGGAAGGTCACGAATGATGAGAAGAGGAAGGAAAAAGAGACGAATCTTGAGGTCTTTTGCTCGTTATTAATGCTTGGAAGACGTGAACAACACCAGCTCTGGTACCCCACACTACTAGCGTCGACAGTGTTTGGCTATAGTGACACCGATAAGCAAAGGCTTGTGCAGGTCGTCGGTGAAACGAATCGCGCAATCGGGTACTAGCATCATTTTACTAGCACGACGCGAGCCTTTGGAAAATTGACTAGTAGACATCGTCAATAGTTTGTCAAGATGTACTTACAGGATCTCCTGTGTTTGATTGTTGACCCAGACAGCATGGACATAGATTGCAACACCAACATCTTCTGCATCCTGAATCGAGCCTTTATCGTTCTACACGCTTACAAGTCGCAAAAGAAGCTGCACCACGATGGAAGTAGATGCATCTTGCACTGCCACTCTGCAGCAAACTTGCAGCAAGACATCATGTTTGTCATTTGAACATTGGCAAATTGTGGTGGAAGCTTTTGTTTGGAGTAGGAGGGAATCATAGAAATTTCCAGAAGGCATTGTGGGCTACCGGCGACCTGCGTGTGTCGTTCACCGTCTGAAGCATGCCTGGATTCCCTGTTCTATCGAGTTGGTGCACACATCATGGATTTCGATCCTCATTCCGGCTTGAACTTGAAGCTTTAACTAAATGGTATCGAAAAATCCCACGGTAGTAGACTCCCGCCTCAATTCTCTTCAAGCGGGACAGCCAGGGAGGTGCGACCGTATGAAGCAACAATTCGCCGTACCGCAATGTCTGGCAAGATGTTGGCAGCAAATCGGTTATAGCTGGAGCTTGCATCCTACCTAACCAGTTCCTTGTTTCTATCGGAGACGGTCGTTGTTTTGTTTTTGCTGAACGACAACTCCATGTAGTCGTGTAGCTACTCGTGCCCATGAAAGCCAGGAGGTATCAACCATTTTAGCTGTGAGTTCAATACAATCTAGCCGCTGTCTTGACTTACAACAGCGGGCTCTCAACCTGATCCCATATTCCGTATCCCAAAGACTGGTATTCTTGAGAATAAGGCGGTCACAACGATAGGATAGTATCGGTTAGATCTCGTTGGGGAGAAGTTCTGTATCGTGATAAAGGGCACTTGCAGACGCCTCGTCGTTCTCGCTTCATATCACCACCGTCTGTAACGTACGAATGTTCACCAATCGCTGGTCAACGCACCTTTGTACTTGCTGCTGGGTTTCGCATGTTTCATTCGTTACGAGGTCTTCCTAAAAGATCGATACGACGTGGCACGCATATTTTAGTGTGTAATCGAAGCTGATGGAGTAGTCGCTGGAAGCCAGGGACCACAACACAGCATTGCTATTCAGGTAAAGTATCAGCAGGCCAGATGGAAACGTGCGTTTCGATACACGCGGTTTTGGATATCGAAGCACGGAAAGATGCTCCTCGTACGTACAACTCAGACATGTCAAGTAACTTAGATGGAGGGCATGCTTCATCCTCGCTTCACATTGATCTTCGATGGACGTCTTAGTCGACCAGAGGTACGTGAGTGGCGTTTGTGAGCTACGCTCAGCTGCAAAGTAAAGCTTCCACTAGGTCGCGATCATCAGTTTTTACGCTCTGCAGCTTTCTTTCACACCTTAGGTTGCGAAAATTACAACCTAAACAAACCGTGAACCCGCTTGTAATCATACGATTACCCGTGATGCGAGCCACTGTTTGAGCTTCAAGTAGCGATTGGAAGCACTCTGCTGGCGCTACCTCTGCTCGCGCGATCATCGGCGGATCGATAGGGCAGATATCCTCCTGTGGCAACGACGTCTTTCACTTTCTCTCCAAAGTAGACTCAATACGTAGAAAGCAGCAATGCGTAATGGACGGTTGCCTACAACCGTGATGGATGCCTACAACCGTCATGGATGCCTTACTCCCACGGTTGTATGGCTGAAGCTATGATGTAACCTGTCGCTTCCGGTCGACTTCCGGCTGGGCTCTGCAGCACAGTAAACCTTACCAGCAAGTTGTCAGTTTGCTTTGACGATACCAGACATCATGGACACGATACCTGATGTTGGTGTAGCACGTTTCCCGCTCACTGAAAGCTGCTTATTTGGCTGGCTACGTTCGATGCGTGCGTACGTTCAGCTTCCTTGAAGTATTCTGGTCGCTATGTTGAGTAAAACAAGTCCATGGGTTCATCTTGCAGTGTACTGCGGTGTCTGCTACGTGAGACTGGCTCAGACAGCGGCACTAGACGTTCACACTGACATTGCCTCATTACCGGCAGCACTTCACGATCGGCATCCTACGAAGCGTGAAGAAATTCCGCTCCAGACTGTACCATCTTCCACATGCATGTGACGTGACAACCCGGCTTTGTTTTGTCGGAGATTCACTACCACGTTGGGTGGGGTACGGGGAAGGACTCATCCTGTGGGTCCTTGCAAGAACCGGGCCCTTTCCAGCTTCACGGCTCTGCATTGATTGTGGAAGGCTTGCTGAGTTCCTGATGGCGAAATTGATTACGATGGTGTGGTCTGAACCGACATGAGTCCTTGCTATGCTAATCCTGCCGCCCTCGCGTCTTCCATCCTTTTTCTTCAAGGGCGCCATTAGCTCGCGCTGACCCGATCGATTAATTCCCTCTTCTACTACCGAGACACGCGCGTGGTTGTGCGAATGGGTCGATTGATGACTGTCGCATCTCGACCGCGTGTCTCTTCTTTCCCTACTCTCTCTCTCTCTCTCTCGAAGAATTCCGTTCGAACTGACCTATCGTGCCACGGTGCCTGCCCGCGCGACCCGAGTATGAGTGCGACAAAAGTGAGTGGCGATAGACCGCTTGTCCTCGCGTCGACTCGTTCGAAATCAGTAACATACGGTTGAGCGCAACGTCTGCTACGGCAGAAGTGCTGCCTGACAGGCTGGTCTAACGGGTTGGCGTCATGTCGACCACAGGGATCCCTCGAAGCTGCAAACCTGTAAACCAGTGTCCCTGCCACTGCGTGTCGAAAGTTCCAGTGCCAAGTCGTAAGCGCTTCATCTGGCGAGGCGCTTATGACTAAACACGGGAACTTGGTTGCTACGCATGTAGAATCATGGCAGGGCGCGTGACACGTCCCGTGTCCCAAAAGGACCTTCGCGACTGCTTCCCGCGAGAGCTCTACAAGCAGATGGGCAAGTCAGTAGGTCACTTTTTCCAGCTTCATGTGACGCGAAAAATGTGGCACTCCACCGGAATAAACTTGCTTGCTGGAAGTGAGGCGAATGCGCCAACTGCAACGACAACTTGCTTCCCGGCGCGGGGACGGACCGACCAGCTGCAGAGCTATATCGCACACATGGACGCAGCCGACAGGAACCGGTCGCACTTGCCAGTCGCGGCCACGATCTGGCGATATGGCTGTGCCGCATCAGCCGGGGTGGAGACGGACCTCCTGATACGTGCCGCACAGAGCCGGGTAAGCTGTAGTATACTTTCAACAGCGCTGCGCAGAATAAAGCCGAGCGAGCGTGTGCTTACTTGAGATCGTTCGGTTCAGCCTGGTCACTAGGCACAGAGACTGATGTCCTTGTCAGTCGGTACCATGGCAAGCAACGAGATCCCGAGTACACTGCCGCATCGGTGAAGGTCTGTGGTTGTCCGGTCCGATATCACGACCGCAGCCACGGCCATGACGACGGACGATCGCTAGCCCACGTGATAGATTTGCGGTTCGCTCAAATGTTTGTGGACGAACGAACGCACGACAACACCGCAGTGACTTTACGCTGACCTCTGCCTGACTATCGCCATATGAAGTTTTGCACGGAGCGCTCGACGTTCGCTACTACCGCTCAAATGGCTGCTGTCGTAAAAAAAAACGCAAGACACGGCGGGATCGGTCGAGCTCGTGTGTGCCGTGTGTCTCTTCGATATCGGATGGACAGGTGGCCTTCACACCGAACCACCTGCTCGCATTTTCTGCGAAATCAACACGATGCCGGCACTGGCTACCACCTGAATCGCAGCTTGTTACCAACTGCATGGGTAGATGAGCCACTACGCTCAGAGGGGTAGTGCTGTCAAGGCAGTGCGTCGTGACGGAGCACGTACTGGAAAAAGAAAAGCTACCCGTCGACCGTTTTGCTCCAGAAGATCCAGCCATCTCCCTCCCAGTGTCGAGATACATGCAAGCAAGTGCGCGAGAGAGCGAGCGAGTGAGACGCGTACTGCATCCTGCATACTTCAATCCATACATCCATGCATAGAGATGTTCAGGGATCCATGCATGGATACATACATGCATACACATGTAGATCCCGGTACATCCCCGTGCGGCCGGATACATCTGCTCATTGCTGACTCGGCTCGACGCACTTTGTCGACGAAAGATGCTGCGCGCAGTCCCGTTTCTGACCATCGCCGCGAAAGATGCAGTTTGATAAGGGACACGGGATTGGACGCGTCCGCGTTTGGCTTTCACCAGGACAGCGACGACGACGACGACGGCCACAATCCAATTCGCGTCCTGGTCCCCACTCCCTCCCTCCCAAGTCATTGTCTAGAATAAAAGAGAGAGAGAGTGAGAGAGAGATCCCAGTACGTCATGCAGCCCAACCGTAGCTCCACTTGTCATCGTAGTGGCCCTGCGAGCGGCAGTAGCAGCAGCTGTAGCAATGCACGCTACAGCGACGTCTTTGTCACCTCGGCTCCTGGTACCGCGCTCTCGTCCTGGCCAGAGCTCAAACAGCTCACAACGACCATGACCGTCACACCCTTCGAAAGCGACGTCCAGCAGCAACAACAACAACGCAACCGCAAACGGCAGCGGCCGCCGTCGCCATCGTCGTCGTCGTTCCCCGACCTCAAACTCGACTTTGCCGGCTTCGAACTTGGTAGCGCCGGTCCGTCCACCGGTTCTCTCTCGTCCCTCTTTGCTTCAACTGCAACCACCAGTACAACCACCTCCAGTGCACTAGCCACCACCGCAGCTTCCCTCCCATCCCCTGCGTCGTCGTACCCTAGCAGTACTTCCAATGGCTACAACATCGCCGACACCTACGACGTCGCGGTCTGCAACTCCACTAACGACGTACTGCTTTTCTTCCAGGAGCTACAGCTCCCTCAAGGACTCAACTGCGGCCGTGCACCGCCTTGCTCAGGACGGTTTCGACTCGGTCCTGGCGCTGGCATTTGCCACCGTGCTGGAGCTCCAGCGCGCAGGCATTCCGGACGCCGCCGTCGTGTGGCAACAAGCGCGTCGCAGCTTCCAAGCGCGCCAGTTCCAAGGCCCGGGGGACCTCTCCTCCCCCACGTCGTCCACGGTGTCCAAGTGGCTGGAAACGTGCGGCGTCCCAAGAGCTCCGAGCTTCAAGTACGCCGAGCACCTCTGTCGGCTCGGCTACTCCAGCGTGAGGGACCTCGAGTTCATCGTCCACGACCAGCGGGCGCTCGCGGGGTTCAAGACCGGCCACAGCCGTCTCGTGACCTACTGCGTCTCGACCGCGCTCAACCTCCACCACCACCACCAGCAGCAGCAGCAGCTCCAGAGCTACGGCACTTACGGCCCCAACGTCTACACTGCCGGGTCGTCCAGTGCTTTGCTCCAGCCGCTGGACATCCAGCGAGACAACGAGTTTGACGTGCAGGCGTACAACTGTTTCCTCGACGCCCTCATCGAGCCCCTGGACGTCGACAGGATGCAACTACAACCACCACCACAACAACAACCACAGCAACAGTCGGGACGGTATGCTGCTCCTACGGTCGCTCCAGTCACCGACCGCAAGTCAGACGCCAACAACAGCGTCCACTCTCTGGGTGTCACCACCACGTCCGCCTCGTTGTTCACCGCGTCGACTGCTCCGCTGCGGTCGCTCCCGCACGAGCATTTGCAGTTGCTGTACGAAGCCGTGAACTTGCCACGGCCGAATCCGTGCCGACGGGGCAAGAAGATCTACTGGCTGGTGCTTGCGTCCGGGGGCATGAAGGACGACCGCTATGCACCGCTGACGCAGTTCACTGGGACTGAGCTGCAGAACGCCTACCTCCAGCAGTTTGAGCTGCCTGCCGATAGCCCCGTGAAGATGGACACGTGGAGCGAGGAGAACATCCGGCAGCTCGAGTACGCCGTGAAGGACCCGCGCTGTCGCCACTTGTCCAAAGTGTGCTGGGAGATGCTGGCCACGGGACGCACGGGCGTCGACGAGTACGCGCCGCTCGCCAAGTTCACTGCGTCGCAGCTGCGGTCGCGCTTCCGCTCGCTCTTTGGTGACAAGCGACCGCAGAAACTGCGACAGAAGAAGCAACTGCTAAAGCTGCAGCAGCAGCAGCAGGATCAGGATCCAGCGCCTCGGGATGGACTCAAGCACGAGCGAGTGGTGTGAGCTGGTAAGAAGGGGACGAAACCCCTGCGAGGGGTGCGCTGTAGTGAATAAAGGGGCATTTTCATGACGAGATGGGGTCTGCTAGAGTGCGTGAGCGGGTGTGGATGAACGAACTTGATACTGATGACTAACACTAGCTATTGTCTAGCTGTAGCCGCCGTTGATGCCGTGCGGCGTGGCGGTTGCAGCGCAGCCCAAGTCGTCGCTCTTAACAGCTTGACGGCACTCGACGTTGGCCAGGCCGACCTTGACCTTCCTGCAGTCCGTCGTCAACTCGACGCCCCTCCCGGGCTTCTGGGTATTACCAGTTGTGGACGTTATAGACAGCACCAGCGACCGGTGCAGCGACTGCGCGTTGCGCCGCAGGAACGAAAGTGGCTGCTTGGCCGATGCGAACGAGATGAAAGGACCGCCTTTAGGCTGCGGTGGCCGCACCGTTTGTTTTTGCGTGGCAAGGAGCTGCTCAAGCTGTCGCCGCGTCGCGGTCGCGTCGGCGCTCTTTGTAGGCGACTCGAGCGCCTGGGGCTCCCGCCAGTAGAAGCGCTGCCACGAGAAGAGCGCTTTGCCCCACGCTTGTCGGTCTTCGCTGCTGCTTGCGGTAAAGTCGATGCGCTGGGCCGCGCCGAGCGTGTACAACCGGTCGGTCACAAAGACCTTCCGGAGCTCGAGGTAGAAACTGTGGGGCACGCCGTCCGCGCGTTTGTGCGCCTTGACGTCGACTTTGCACCCCGAGAGCTGCAACTCGCTCACGCATAAAGTGCCTTCAGGCGTCGCGTATTGACGCAGATATCCGTCTTCGAGCGAGAGGTAGCACACACTCGGTTGACTGCGTTTGTTGTAGACGATGAGGTAGCCCTGTCGAGTCATGAGTGCGGAAGGAAGGAAGGAAGGCAAGGCAAGGCAAGGGGGGGAGTAGTATGTCCAGGTGAAACGACTAGTGGCGACAAGAGACGGCGACCGAAACCTCGCGGAGCAAGTCGCACGTTACACCTGGAGCCGTTCTGCTCGACTTCCTTCCTTGTCCGGTTCACAAAGCACGGATCAAGAGGCGAAACGACCGCTGAGTGCGTTTAAGACGCATACAGCCAGCAGCAAGCAGCAGCTGGCTGCGACCACTTGACAACATGGAACACAAGGCGACGGTGAGCCACGCGAGTGGGACCAGCTGGAGTGGACGGGGGTATTGACACGAGCTCCTTAAGCTGGTGGTGGCGGATGGCAACTACAATTGACGCCCGCCACGTCGGACACGGAGCTGCTGGAGCTCGACGAAAGTAGCAGCTGCTGACCGACTTGTGTGGTAACGGGATGTTGAAGAGGGCGCAAGTCGCAAAGAAGTCGGTTCTGACTGCTGCTACGACGGACTCGATTGGAATTGTTGACTCTGTACCCGGACTGGCGATGGTAAGCAGGGAAAGAGGGAGGTAATGAGGATCATGCTATTGAAGGTAAAGCAAGTCCGATGCGTGTGATTTGCTGGTTTGATTCAAGGTTGACGTCGCCCTTTGCGCAGCTCCACTGGAATGGCGATGCATGTGAGGAACGGATTTGCTGTCCAAGTCCGTGGTGCTGCTGGGCTGGGCGACAAAGCTAGGAACAAGCTCGGGAGGGTACTGTACCGAGGGAAGCGACGTTCAGGCGCGATTTGGCGCGTTGACTCAGACAGCAGCAGTCGGTGAACAGGGCATGGGCGCAGTGAACGCTCAGGGCTGGACGACTGACTGACTAGCTACGAGGAGATCACGTTTTGTTGCTAGGTTGGGGGTATCATTCGCCCGAGTCTTTTGCTTCTCTCCCTCTTTCATCATCATGTGGTAGTAGTCGTAGTGGTTGGTAGTACTACTACTGACCGGATGATGGCTTCCCTGTAGAAAGAACTACCGAGTACTGAGGGATTCGGCGCGGGTGGGGACAAGAGTGAAGGACGTCGAGCGAGAGCGATTGTTTGCAAACGCGAGTTGCCTCTTGTCGTCCGTCTCGTCGAAAGGACCAGCAACTCTGTGAGCAACTGCCGCCAAAGCGTCTCCAGCTCTGACGTACACGCCTGTGTATTCCTCTTGAGAGAGATCGAGGCGTTCTAAGGGTCCTAATTTTAGTCTCTGAACGCACGTGAGCGTGTCTAAATTTAGAACCCGCTCTCCAGGCGAGGAGCTGCAATCAACATGAGCAGCGTCGCGACTACTGGATCGTCGTCTCCTGTCCCGTCCACGGGTGTCAACGTCTCGCAACCAGTGGATCCAGCTGCGTCTATACCGAGTGCGAGCGCCACGTCGCCCTGCAGCAAGCGCCAGAAACTCCAGGACATCGCTGACGCGTCGGTCGCAGTCGTCGATTCTAAAGACGGGGTTCTAGATGCTTCATTGCCGACCGAGAACGCAGTACGGGACAAGGCACTGGAGGGCGGTGGTCTGAATATGACTAATGAGAGGAATTCGAGCACGACGTACTCGGACGTTGTGGCAATGAATCTGCCCAAGGAGTCGACGGCGTGGATACTTGGGGACGTTGACGGGTTTGGAGCGCTCGGAGCGAGTCCGTCCATGACTGCAGTACTGGAGAAGCGCTCGTCCAGTCCGTCGTTCCCAATGGAGAGCGGGCTACTGCCTTCGTCATCATTATCTGCTGCTGCTGCTGTTGCTGGATCAAGTACTGGAGTGTCGAGCAGCACAATGTCAGGAGAGACTGAGAAGGCAGCAATAGACGCTGCAGAAGCAGGTCTTGATGGAATTGACAACCACGCTGAGCTTCCAGGAGCCACGACTGCTACGGCTGTTGTGGCTGGTGTGGTCCCACCGGTTACCGAGGGGTCTGGAGGCAATACCAAGTACATGGACCCTGCTACGGGCGACTACATGTACCCAGAGAACGTCAAGCTCATGAGTTTCTACGACAAGCAGCGACTGGTGCAGAAGATTACGATGCTGCCGAGTCAGTATCTACGAGGCTTGATGGATGTCATTAGCAAGTACCAGCCCGACACGGTGCGGCAGATTGACGACGATGGCTACGCGTTTGATCTTGGTCAGATGAACGAAAATACGGTCTGGGCCATTAGCGACTATGTGAAAGACTCGATGATCGAGCTCGACGGGTACATCAAGTCGCTCAATCAAACGGGGATCAGTCTATCGGCAACGGACGAGCGGCAAGCAGGGAGCACGATTCTCACGGCAACAAGTGTCGCGAGTGTCAATACGACCGCGCGCCAGCTCTCGGAGACGTTGGCGCTGAGTACGACCAAGATCTCGGCCATTACGAGCAACGAGAGTCAGCACAAGTTCCTCGAGCAGGTGGAGATGTACTCGAAGCCAAAGGTGACCAAGTCACGTGCGAAGCCGAGCAAGAAGCACGAGTGTCCCACGTGCACCAAGCAGTTCCGTGGTCGCTCCGAGCTGCAGAACCACATTCGCACGCACACGGGCGAGAAGCCACTCAAGTGTTCGTACGCGGGTTGCACGAAGCGGTACGCGCACAGCTCGAATCTACGGGCGCATGAGCGAACCCATGCTGGGATCAAGCCTTACACATGTCACTATGACGGTTGTGGCAAGAGCTTTGCCCACTCGGTGTCCCTCAAGGAACACATTTGGATGCACGCGGGGTTCCAGCCCTACGTGTGTCCGTACGAAGGTTGCCACAAGAAATTTACACAAGTGTCGAACTTTGCCCGGCACAAAAAGACGCACGAGAAAGAGGATGAGCGTAGAGAAGAGCAGCATGACCAGGCCATGGAAAGTGATACGTAACGGGGTGGATGTACCCATTTGTGCCACGTGACGAACGAACGAACGAACAGGCCGCCCTGTTTTTGTTTTATCGACTGCTGCTACTACTACTACTACTTCACACCAAACAGCTACAGTCTCTCCAGTAGTGACGATGTCACTCGAGCGCGGTCTCCACGGCAGGACTCGACTTGGACACCACGAGCGTCCGTTCGTGGCCATCGGTTTCGAACTTAGCAATGACCAGCGCCCGTCTGTTCGTCTCGAGGCGCACGATAGGTACGCACTGAACGGCGTCCTCGACCGCGTCGCTGTCGTCGTTACCGTCGGCGACTTGGCCCAAATCGATGGCTTTCTCGGCAATGCACGTGAAGAAGCCGTTCTTCTGGTCGCGTGTCGTGTACGCGAGGTCGCCTTGTGCCTTGAGCAGGAGGCCATGGCCGTCGTTAAGCACGAGTCCGCGCGACTCGGCGGTGGTGATCATCTTTGTTTTTGTATGTGGCCTATCGAGATGAGGTACTGGGTGCGAAAAAGCGGATATAAGCAGAATGGGTAGGATATCGAAATGGGTCGTGGTTTTTGCGTCACGAGGTTTTATGGACCTGTGTATCGATCCTTCTCTTGCTTGTTCTGTATACATGGTGTGAGTATATCCATCCCCAAGCTCGCGAAATCCATTTCTAACCGAGGTGCGGAGCCGCAGTTATTGGTCAAAACAACGATAGATAGATAGATACCCCTACCCCTCGATCCGGTCCACTCGGTTCTTCAACGAAAGCGCGGATGAACTCGTCGTCTTCTCGCTCGATGCGTCGCCGCTCGAGCGCTCGTACCGCTCGCCACAGCCACGCCACAGACCTACCCACTGCCTCATCGTCTGCGCCGTCTCTTGCTGCGTCGAATGCGCCACCGCTCGTGTCCAAGAGGCCGCTAGAAGTGACGTTCTGCGCCGTCCAGCGCGTGCGCAACCGCGCGTTCCTGCTCTTGTGCACCCGCTTTCACTGGCGTCTCTACCGCCTCGACGGCTTGAGCGCTGGACGCGAGAGCTGCACACCTGTGGAGGTGCGTCTCTTGCGGTTGCAACGCGGCTCTTTGCAGCGCAAACGACGTCGACCTCGTGTCACAAAGGCGCTTTGGAACTGACACAGACGTGCTGTGTGTGTGCGTGTGTCTAGCTGCTTGTGGACCCCAGGACGGACGCGCAGAAGCTCTCGGACGTGCGGCTCTTTCGGCTGTACGCGCTCCCGACTGCTGCGGACGCTCTGGGAGCTCTGTTCGTGCTGGAAAAGCGCTCCGGAGACAGCAATCTCAGTGAGGAGGAGGAGGAGGAGGACGCGTTTGTACTGGGCACTGGACTTCGAGAGGAGGACGACGGACGGGAAGAGCTCGTGGTGCTGGCGCTGGACGAGCAGCGCGTGCTGCACAGGCTGTCGCGCACGCCGTCGCTCGTCGTGGACGTGCAGACAAATGCCGCGACGGCTGCGGTGTTGTGTGAGACGTGTGAGCTGTTTCTCTATGACTTGGCTACGTTTCAGCTGCAGCAGGTGATTCGGACGGCGTCGCCTGCCATGGCCCTCGGACCACGATGGCTGGCGTATCCTGGTTTTGTACTGAGCACGGAGGTGAATCCCGGCGCTGGTCGCCAGCAGACAGTGGCGGACGTTGGAGACAGTGACTCGGACTTTGACGACGTGCCGATTGAAGCAATGGGGATCGGTCGAGTGGCTGCTGCCGAGACTCGCGATGCATCGGCTTACACGGCTATTGATGTGGCGCAGAACGTAGCGTCGGGGCTGTACTATCTGTCCGAAGTCGGCCGTGCTACCATTGCGCCATATTTGTCGTCGTCACCTGGCATCAGCTCAGACGCAATGCACGACCACCGCGCTGAGAAGTCACCGTCCCGTCGTCGACATTCTGGGGAGTCGCGAAAAGCGTCTTGCAATGGCACTGCAGGTAGTAGTCGCTGCACGCTGCAAGTTGGCGATGAAGCAGCCGCTTTGTCGACGAAGAAACGACCAGGGTGGGTGGTGGTGCTCGACTTGGTTACGAACCGTGTGATGGCAAACTTTTCTTGTCATTCCACTGCGTTGGTGAATCTTTCATTGGATTCTTCCGGGCTCCTTCTGGCTACGAGCTCGAACAAGGGCCAAAACCTCCATGTATACCGCTTATCGCCCCCGTTGCAAAGCATAGGAAACAAGCCAGGAGCAGCAGGCGATGGGCATGGAACACTACAATACCAATTGGTGTACAAGTTGCAGCGTGGAATTACTCACGCTAGCATCGAGGATATTGCGTTCAGTCAAGATGGGAAGTGGATTAATGTGACATCAGCACACGGCACAAGCCATCTGTACGCGCTTCATCCTGAAGGAGCGCGCATCAGTGCTGACACGCATGCAAACACGATCGGGAGCGCTGATGAGTCGAATGCTGATGCATTGAACACTGGCTTTTGTCGACGTGAAGTCAGCGACTTTTATGCGGACTTTCGCACGCTCGAGACGCGGACGCAGACCCAGGTACTTCGTATCCGTCATGAGCTCAGGATTCCAGATGTGTCAACGGTGCTGCCCCACAAGTCGGTAGCGTCAGCTTGTTCCAAATCTCGTCCATCGCGTTCGTCGCGTTCCTCATCGTCGTCGTCGATGTCTTCAACATCGTCGTCGTCGTCTCCTCCGGGATTTGCATCCAACACCTCACCTGTGACGATACGCAGTAGCACTCTGATGGAATCAGCGCTGGATGCATCGCAGGCTCTGCTGTCCCACCTCGCCACATCCGCCATAGATTTCGGCCATCAACATTTTGAAAACGACATGGGTGTGTCTTCTCGCCGTCGCCGACTGCGTCAGCGTCTGTGCAGCTTGTTTGCTCCCGACGGACACAAGATACTGATCTATTGTGATCCGGTTCTGAAGTTGTACGACATGCGAGTGACGGCACTTTCCCAGCACAAGGCAGACCGAGCGCGGGCGACGCCACTGGATTCAAAGACGAAGAACTCGAAGTCATCATTGTCATCGTTTGGCTTTGAAGCCAGTGTGACTGAGCTCAAGTCGTGGGAACTCTTTACGTCAGGACGACGAAAGACTGAGCCACTTTCTTCTGTTGCCAGTGGCCAAAGCAGAGTGATTGGCAGTAGCGCGAGTGGAGATGCTAGAGCCAGAAGCGAGCTGAGAACTTTTGCTCAACGATCGCTGCCGTTGTGGGCACATCCAAAGGTGACGTTCAGAGCGATTGACGAAGGCCATCCGGAAGGCCAAATACTTGAGGTAAAGCGCAAGGGGCCAAATCCAAGTCAAGATCTCAATGCTAGCACCATGTCGATGACCCTCGAAGGTTATGCCAACGGCGATGAGCAACTGTTTGTGATGGAAATGGATTCGTACTTTGGTATTGGTGGCTCGCCGGTGTTTGACGGCCGTAGTGAACATCGTCCGGCGACACCCGAGATTCCTCCGCCGCTGAACTTGTCAACAAGCATTGATATGGCCATGTCATCTTCGTTGTCCGAAACACCACCCAAGGTGGTTCCGGAGGTGAAGAACACGATCTGCTTTCGACCGATTGACCAGTATCTCGTGAGCGGAGCTAGCTCGACACGAAAGCGGGAAAAGAAGAAAGGAAAGAACCGGCGAATACTCACACCGCCATCATGTTCCGAAGCTGAGGCTGCGGTCGTCGAAGATGGCTGCACTACTGGGGGACTGGCCTCCCTGCAGTTTACATTGCAGGACACGTACTTTGCGTTGCCCACCGATGAAGGCAGCGATTGATGGGATGCAGCAGTCAGACCTCACTGAGCCATACAATCGATTCATCTCACCCCGATCAACAACCACCTGCGAAAGGTGGTTCAACAAGTGAAGCGCATAAAAGTCCACTATAAGCCAGGAAGAGGTCAATGGACGTAGCAGCACGGAGATAAGGCTAGTAATGGCAGTACATTAGCAAACCTGGTACGCGTAACAACTATCAGCTCACTCGTCAGCAGGTGCAAGCTCCAACCCGTTTTCTCTGGGCTGTAACATTTGTTGCACAACCTGCGTGACCTGCTTCCGCAGCTCCACCGTGACTTCCTCGCAAGTCTGACCCACCCGACCTGCAAGCTCGACATAGTACTTGAGCTTGGGCTCCGTCCCACTTGTACGCAATGTGGCAACGCATCCATTGGCAAAGGTGTACGTGATCATCTCTGTCGAACTGCTTACCGGAAGCACAGCACGCTTGTCCGGCTGAGAACTGTCGTAACCTGTGGTGAGGTCGCGGACATGCGAGATCGCATAATCACCACAGCTGTCCCAGTACTTCCCGCCATTGCGCAACCGTTCAAAGATTGCACGAATCTTGACGGGGTCATAGCACTTGACGTAGTGGTTTTGCGTCACGAAATAGCCATAGCGCCCGTACAACGCATTCAGGTGCTGGGCCACTGTCATCTGTTTGGTCGCTTCCAGCTGAACCGCCATTTCTGCAAACACGGCAGCAGCGATAACGCCATCTTTGTCTTTCACGAGCCCACCAACACAAAACCCGATGGCCTCCTCGAAAGAGAACAGAACGGTCTTGCCAGCTTCGCGCAGCTCCGCAGTCTTGTTGCCCATCCACTTGAACCCAGTGAGCGTCTCGACAAAGTTGAGACCCTCAGTCTCAGCGACAGCACGCAGCATCTTTGACGACACTGTCGAAGCGACAAAGTACAGCTGCTTGCGGTCGCAGTCCGGGTGCAGTCGCACATACTGTTCGAGCTCCCAGTGACCCAACAGCACGCCAATCTCGTTACCCGTGAAGATCCGCCAGCCAGATTCAGAGTCTGCATCCCGCTCTGCCACAGCCAGACGGTCAGCATCAGGGTCGTTGGCTAGAATCAGCCTCGCTCCGCTGGCTTCAGCTGTCTCCATGGCAAGCTGTAGCGCCCCCTTACCTTCCTCCGGGTTGGGAAAAGCCACGGTGGGGAACTCCGGGTCCGGCAAAAGCTGGGCCTGCACTGGAACGTACTCCTTATGCTTAAAAGCTGCAAACGTGCGACTCGTAAACACGTGACCGACACCGTGCATGGCCGTATAGGCGATCGTGAGCGTCGTGCTGGCATTGGCTTCCGGGAAGCGACACAATTCTGTGCCTGCCCGCGCAAAGTAGCGCTGGATCAGCTCGTCACTCGGATCTTCCAGCAGCGCTGGAAACATCTCCTGGAGCTGCTCGCGCGACTCGTCGTATCGTCTCCATGGAGCCAAATTAGCCACAATCTCATGCGCGATTCCTTCGTCGTGTGGTGCAATAATCTGACAGCCGTTCGACCAGTAGACTTTGTAGCCATTATCAGCCCTGGGGTTGTGCGACGCTGTCACCATCACACCTGCCGCACAGCCTTTTTGCTCGACACAAAACGGCTGCGTGGCACAAAACGACCCAAAATGACCCAAAATGATCCAAAAACTGCGTCAGATACCCCCCCACAGCTGTACGATTGCAACAGACACGCACCACAAGTGGCGTGGCCACCACATCTTCATACAAATACACTCGGAAGCCACGGTGCAGACAGACGCTTGCCGTGAGCTCGGCAAACCTCTTGGAGCTCAGCGACCGCTGCTGGCGATGGTCGTAGCCCAGTGCGACGCCCATGAGCTTGGCCTGTTCGCCCAGCTGCTTCACGAGGTACGTGCAGAGTCCCTGGGACGTCTGGATCACGACCAGATCGTTTATTGCCGAGGGCCCGGGACCCATGACGGCGCGTAACCCTGCGGTCCCAAAGGTTACGCGACGGCTGAAGAGCTCCTGGAGACGCTCCACGTTCTTGGAATCGACGAGCTGCTGGATCTGCATCTTCGTCTCAGTATTCAGGTCCCAGTCCGTCCATTGTCGAGCTGCTGGGAGCCACTGATCGCCTGGGAGCGCAGCCATTCGACGCGCTCAGGAGGTCTTGGCGGAGGATACCGTGCGGCTTTTGAGGAGCTCTTTTCGTGTGGATGGGTTAGAAATGGAGGACGGGATACCGGTATGCTGTGAACGAGGATAGAAACGCTGAGTGCGTACTTGTGCGAGGGCCTCGCATAGTGCATGTGGCGGACCGGTGTATGTGATTTAGCAGGTGCTCAAGCGAACTCAGGCTCCAATAATAGGGGAAGGACTTGTTGCAAGAACAAGAGACGGGCGCGCTGCTTGCTGCTGGGCACTGGCTTCTGTGGATGTGCTTGTGTAACAAGAGAAAGACGAATGAGGAGGGCGGGGTGAGAAGACTCGAACGACAGGCGTCTGCCATGAATTCGTACTTACCACTTACACGAACATGTTTTTCTGATACGCAATGGAACTCCCACTTGACTGCTGAGATTCACATGCTTCCTTCCAGCAGTCACAGAAGTGGAACGAACATGCAACTCGGTACGTACCTACTACGCGTCCAGTTCACCCGTGACCGCCTTGCTCAGCCAGTCGAGACCTTCGTACAGTCCCTCGCCAGTGGTTGCAACACAAGCCTGGACGCTCGAGGGGTTCTGGGTCACGTCAGCCAGCTCCAGTCTCTCTCGCAGCTCTTCAGCCGACAAAGCGTGCGGCTGGTCCTGTTTATTGGCGTACACGAGCAGCTTGGTATGAGCGAGCTCTTCCGCTTCAAAGATCAGATGCAGCGCCTCTTTTGCTTCGTCAATACGATCGACATCAGCAGCATCAACGACAAAGATGACGGCGTCGTTGTTGGAAAGGTAGTGCTTCCACAGCGAGCGGATCGTCTCTTGTCCGCCAATGTCCCACGCCGTGAATTTGATGTTCTTGTAGTCAAAGGTCTCAACGTTATAGCCGATAGTGGGGATCGTCGTCACGAGCTCGCCAAGCTTGATCTTGTACAGGAACGTCGTCTTGCCTGCACCGTCGAGGCCGATGATCATGATGCGGCTCTCGCGGTTGCCAAAGAAAGCGGCCAAGCTGCCGTAGAGCGCTTCGAGTGAGAAGGAGAAGACGGTGCCCATGGGTTGCAGTAGAAGCAAGAGGATGGAAGAGGGAGGAAGTGGAGCGAGAGAGAAGACTTGGAAAGTGAGCGCTATGATGGACGTGCAGGACGAATGCGTGACGACGGTCGTTGAAGTAGCTGTTGTGAAGTGTGGTGTTTTGATTGGCTGCTTCTCATTTCAACGAATCAGAAGGCGCCGAACGAGCAAAGCGCGACTTCAACGTCTGCGCAAGGTGTCGTACGTCTCTGACTGTCACTGCAACACTCTCGATCGAGTCTGTAGCGCGAGCCGAATTACTGGCGTATGGGCTGGCGTGACCCAGATGGATACAAATGCGACCCTGTCTTCATATATCTCTGCATCTGACTCCGTGTAGCCACGATGCAACGCGCATCCGATTCCAATACAACAACAGCAACAAGTAGCGGGTCTCAATAAGTTACAAGCAAGTGCACAAAGACGGTGATCGTTGGTGGCATCACTTCGCGACAACGCCGATTCCATTCTGCTGCTTCCGTTGTCGCTGCTGCTGCTGCGTCTTCCGTTGCAGCTGCAACTTCCGTTTCAGATTCTTGGCCTTCTTCTTCGTTGCTTCATCCCTCAACGTGTCAAGGAGCTCGTCCTGCGCCGTGCGTTGGCGCTTGCTCTTGTGTTTCTGCGTCTTGAGCCGCACGAGCTCCTGCTCTTCTTTGTCCTGTGCCTCTTCTCGCTGCTGCTGTGCCTCCTGCTCCGCCTTTACCGCCTCTTCTGCATGTGTGCCTCGATGCTTGCGCAGCATCTTGTGCTTCATCTCTCGCTCCTTCTCCGTCAGCACAAGGTCTGCAGACGCGGCATTCGGTCGCGTCAGAAGCGGTGCGGACGACGACGACGACGGCCGATAGAGCGCGACAGGACGACGGACTGGCGGCTGCGTCTCGTGCTCGGTCGTGCTGTCTTCACTGGATCGTCCACCAATCAGCCACGAGCCCACCACGTCCAGTGCAGTCGACTGGAACGCTACGTCGATATCGCTGTCGCGAGCACTCATGGCTACCAATTAACTGCTGCGAGGCTCGCACCACTTCCGATGCGAGCAATCGTACTTATGCGAGACGCCACGATCAATTGGCTTTCAACCAATCGCTATGCGTTTCGGCCTCGCGATTGGTTGGCTGGGAACGCGGCTGCCGCAGCCTGATCGTCCTTCCGCTATGACCTCACTCACTCTTTGATCGCTCCAGCAAGTCAAAGCCAGCCAGCTAACCAGCCAACCAGCCAGCAACCAATTCCCTCGTCGTCACCATGGGCCGCATGCACTCGCACGGAAAGGGTATGAGCAAGTCTGCTCGCCCGTACAAGCGCTCGCCGCCGTCGTGGCTCAAGGTCTCGGCGGAAGACGTGGAGGACCACATTTGCAAGTTTGCCAAGAAGGGACTGACGCCGTCTCAGATTGGCGTGATCCTGCGTGACTCGCACGGCATTGCCCAGGTCAAGAGCGTGACGGGCTCGAAGGTGCTGCGTGTGCTCAAGAAGAACGGTATGTACCGGATGCTGTGTCGTGGTTGGTCCCAAGTGTATCCCCTCATGTGTGTAGCCGTCGGCTGACCCGTTTCTGCTTGTTTGGAACTGCTGTGCTATTCTTGGCATTCTGCTCGATACCACCTGACGTACGGATCCGATGGCTACGTTGTTTTTCTGCCTCTCTGTTGACGTGGGGGTACGCGGGTTGATCTACTTTGATGACGCATCACGGCAGGCCTTGCTCCTGAGCTGCCGGAAGACTTGTACATGCTTATCAAGAAGGCTGTGGCTGTGCGCAAACACCTGGAGCGCAACCGTCAGGACAAGGACTCGAAGTTCCGTCTTATCCTGATCGAGTCGCGTATCCACCGCCTCGCTCGTTACTACCGCAAGAACCGCAAGCTCTCGCCCAACTGGAAGTACGAGTCAGCCACGGCCTCGACGTTGGTGGCGTAAGTTGTCGCTCGTGATGCTGAATCCGCGGTCGGTAGTGTAATGGCAAAATGCAACCGCGTTTAGTCGCTGGGTAGCTTGATCATCTTTGGTGCTGGTATCGTCTGCGTCTTGTTCTGCAGCTGTCGTTGCGGCTTGTTCAGTGGTATCCCTTGCTCTATCGTCCTTGTGGGACGATGACGTCAAGATGGAGCAAAAGCATCGTCAGGATCGTGACAACCCCATGCAGCGCGAGGTCAAGCAAGAGTCTGATGACACTGTTGCCGCTTCATTGCACAGAACGTGCTCGTACGCTGCTATAGATATCCTCGTTTCCCGAAAACGCACCACTTCTACTTGTTCATCATCAGCCTCTACAAAAGATCAGCTGTGCATTCGGTACCCACTTCAATGTACCCATCTGCAGCTGTCTCTGTCGACCTACCTGCCTACACTTTTTGCAACTGTACCCATCTGCTCCCTCCCTCCCTCCCTCATTTCTAATTTGTGTTTCTACTTGCGCACTCGTGAAAGTCCCGCGTCCCAGTCGCGCCGGTTCTGTGTCTCTGTGTCTCTGTTACAGGATCCAGAGCATGGCCGACGACGCGTCCGCCGCCGCGGCCGAGAACATCGCCGTGTGCATCCGCGTGCGGCCCCTGAACGAGCGGGAGAAGCGCTCGAGCGACGCGCCCGCGCTGTGTTGCGTGCCTTCACTCCACGTCGTGTCGCTCACGGATCCAGAGACGGGCGCGCCGCTCTCGGGCAAGGGCAACGTGTTCCAGTACGACGAGATCTTTGACCCAAGCAGCGACACGCACGCCATGTACGAGCGCGTGGGGCGTCGCATCGTGCACTCGACGCTGCGAGGCATCAACGGGACGATCTTTGCCTACGGCCAGACGAGCTCGGGCAAGACGTACACGATGCAAGGGGACGGCGGGATGCCGTTCGATCCCGAGGCCGAGACGAGTCGGTCCGGGCTCTTGCAGCTCGCTGTCGACGATATTTTCCAGTTTATTGAAGCGTGCGACGACCGCGACTTTCTGCTCCGCGTCTCGTTTGTCGAGATTTACAACGAAGTGGTGAAAGATCTGCTGACGTTGACGGAAAAGGGCGCGAACTTGAAGCTCCGGGAAGACCCGAAGAAAGGCGTCTACGTCGAGTGTCAAGAGAAGATCATTACGAATTACGAAGACATTGTGACGTTGTTGCAGACGGGCAATCGGAACCGGACCGTGGGCCACACTGCCATGAACGACAAGAGCTCGCGCTCGCATAGCGTCTTTCGCATCGTGATCGAGAGCAAACAAAAGGACGTGTCGAGACGACTGTCCGAGGAAGACGTGGACGGAGCAGTGCTGGTCGCGAGCTTGAATCTAGTGGATCTAGCGGGCTCGGAAAGTCTCCGACATACGGGAGCAGAAGGCATTCGACAACGAGAAGCCGGGAATATTAATAAGTCGCTGCTGACGCTTGCACGGGTTATTAATGCGCTGGCTAGCTCAGGTGGCGGTGGACAGAACGCGCCGTTTCGAGACAGTAAGCTCACGCGGCTCCTACAGAACTCGCTTGGCGGTAACACACGTACGCTCATCATCTGCTGCGTGACCCCAAGCGACAGGTACATTGAAGAAACTAAGAGCACGCTGCAGTTTGCAGCCCGTGCAAAGGATATACAGACGACTGCGACCGTAAATGAGGTGCTCGATGACCAGACGCAGCTTCGCCGCCTTAAGCGCGAGGTGCACGAGCTTCGAACGCTCGTAAACTCGGAAGCTCTGACTGCACTGAAGGCAGAAAACGAAGCACTGATCAGCGAGAAGAATTGCAACAAGACAGAGATGGCGCGACTCATGGGGCTCATCCTATCCAGTACTTCTGTGGCGAAAGCTAATGCTGTGAGCAAAGAGCGCAAGCGACGAGGTAAGCGATCAAGAGAGACATGGGGACCGGGCGATTTTCCTGCGGATATCAAGGCGCTGCGTGCACTGTCTCCGCACCCATATCCCCGCAAGCGGCACTCGCTAGCAAAAGAGAACGTGGACCCAAAGACACTTTTTTGCGTCCACGGGGACGACGATGGTATTTTAGCAACGAAGAAAAACTCTAAGCTCCCATTGGCAATGCGGCAATTGAAACAAGGATGGACTGAACTGGACAATGACAGGAAAAGCGTCTTCGATCTGTTTGCAGCAGTCTACTCGAGCTACAATGATGGAAAAAGCGACGACCCAATTGCTGCAGGGGAAGCAAATGTGGATGTAAGACGTGTATCGCTTGATGATTCTCAGCGGGCTCGTGCGTTTGATGTGCTAGCGAGGATGGTGGACGACGTGCAGTCGAAGGGTGCTGTTGAGGGAAAGCTATTGATGAGACAGGATGTGGCAAATCGATGCCTGGATTCAGACAATCACTGCTCAAAAAGCTCTTTGAAGGTCAACGCACTTGTCGAAGAAATGAAGGCTAAGTTAGAGGTGACTCAGGAGTCATTGGCTAACGAAAAGAAGCGCTGCCACGATTTGGAGACGGAAAAAGCCAGCTCCCAACAAATGGCCGAAGAAGAGTTGAGCGCACTCCGTCACCAGTTGGAGACTTTGAAGCTCAAGTCCAGTGAATTGCAACATCAACTCGGACGCGAGAAGAATCAGCTGGTAGCCACGATTTCGTCGCTTGGTCATGATAACAGCATGAGTCCGCGCAGTAGTGGGGATGCGCAAGAGAACGTGTTGGATGATGCGGAGGCGTCGCGGACTTTTCTTCAGTTGGCCGCTGTAGATGGTGGCAGTGATATTGATTATTGCAAGTTACATGAGCATGAAGCCGATCCGACTGAGGTAGCTACACAAGTCGAGTCAATAGCAGAGGAGGAAGAGCTTGTGCTGCAAGAAAACGTTTGTGGGCTGGACAATGGAGAGCAAACGACTGTATTACAGACTCAGTCGCCATCGGAAAGCGAGACGATATCACGTCAGGACGCTGTTGCCACAGACCGATTCGAAACGTCGGCTGTGGAAAAGCTTGCTGGAGAGTTGCAGAGTATCATGCAGGAACTTGCGCAACTACAGTCGGACCACGAACAAACGGCTTTTGAGAAAGAAGAGCTACAAGCGGAGACGGAAAGGATGAGCGAGGAAATCGAGGCTGCGCAACGTCATGTTTGTGAGATGAGTGAGGCGTTGATGGAGAAGGATCACACCGCGAAGGTCTTGCAGGCACAGCTAGACGCAAAGCTCATGACGATTTCACAGATGCAGACAAAGTACAGCGATGAAGTCGGAATATTGCAACAAAGTATCCAGGATCTTATGACTGAAAACGATCAGCTTCTCACGAAAACACGAGAGTCGCACGCCAAACGAAACGTGGCTTCAGATGACACTTACCCGGAAAAGCCAGCTGCCAGTTGTAGCGACAGCATCTGCACACATTCTTGTGCAAAGGACGAGGCTCTCCACCTGCCTTCGGAAGTGGGGCGGTTGACTGAACAACCTGTTACTGATAAGTCAGAGCTGTTCGATACAAAGCAATGCTTACAGGCAACTCTTCAGACGGATGATGCTGCTTCATGCCATCCGAAGCAAGAGAACGATCCTGATTCGACCGTATTGGCGAATGAACATGAGCAGATCGTGGACGTGCCTCTTCGTGATATCGGCTCACTGGACCAATCTGATCTGCGTTACAACAAACTCAGGGAAGATTTTGTACGGGTCACTGGTGTGCTAGATAATGTATCGCGTGAGCGTGACGACTGTGTGGAAGAGCTTCGAGCGTTGGAGTCCCAGCTCATGGAGGTATCTGAAGAGAAAATGAGATTTGCAGTCGCCGCCAATGAACAAGAAATCGATCTTCGAAAGGTACAGCAAGACGTTTTGTCATCCACAACGACGATCGCAACGCTTCGAGCGCAGCTGGACGACGCTGAATCCGCAAAAGCGACGTTGGAAGCTAGAAAGACTGAGCTTGAGCAAAGTATCGAGAAACTACAGGCCTCCTGGAAGATGTTGCAAGCAGACTATGCCGCGGTGGTGGAGCAGATGCAAGAGCGTGAAACAGCTGTGTCCACACCTGAAAATGACGGTAGTACCGCCGAGGCAGAAAATCTACAGCAGCGTCTCGAAATTGAGTCCAAAGAGCGTAAGAAGCTTCAACTTGATGTCACATCCTACGAAGAGACTTTATCCGTACTGCGCGAGGAGGCAAAGAATAGTTCTGACACAATTGCTGACCTGTTGGAGAAGATGGGGTCGCTGGAAACGGACCTCGTTGCAGCTGCTCGTTTCCAAGAGAAGAAGGATAAGGAACTAGCAAGTTTGACAAACGCTCTATCGAGGTCGAAGGAAGAGCTGGATGAAATGCGGCTCCAGAGTAAGCAGCGTCTTGTTGTCGCGGAAGGAAAAGAAATGTCACTCGAGGAAAAGATTGTTGAGCTTGAGCAACGGATAAGTGTACCATCGGGTGATACAGGTATGGAAAATAAGCTGGCGCAGGACAGTGTAAGGGAGGAAATTGATGAGGCGAGAGAAAAACAGACTGAGCTTCAGTCCAAGATCACAGCACTGGAGAACGAGTTAGCGAAGGCACAACAAGAGTTGCTTGAGCAAGACTCAGCGTGGAACAAGAAAGAAGAATTGGCAAAGAAGGAATTTGCTCGCTTGACGATGGAGCAGACGCAACTGCGCGATGATTTACTTGCTCTCCAACGTGGCGCGGAAGCCGCTCAGGAGACGCATTCCGATGAACTACTGAAGGTAGAAGATTCGTGCACGGAGATTATGGAGCAAAAGGACGCGATGCAACGAGAACTTGAAGCAGCAAATACCATGTGGGAAGAAAAGGAACAAGATCTAATGCATCAGATGGACAGCCTTCGTGAGCAGTTTGAAGCAGTACAGGTAGAACTTGACGAGTATCGGAAAAATGCGGATGACGAAATACACCGACTCCTCTCCGTCGTTGAGAGAAGCGATGCTGCGATCGAGGAGCTCAAGCATACTTATGACGCAAGGGAGAAGGAGTATGAAAAAAGGATTAGTGAGCAAGAGGACCAGATAAAGAGCCACCAAGAAACGTTGCAAGTAGAATACAGCGGGCTTGAGGCTGCATATCGGCAGCTGAAGGAAGAAAACGCCATGCGTGAGGATCAGCGCAGAAGCATGGAAGAGCAGCTTCAGAACGAAATCGACGAGCTGCAACAGAGTTGTGCCACTGCACAGACACAGCAAGCCAAATACCAAGCTAAGTTGAAGGAGATGGAAACTCAGCTGGAGATGACCGAGAATGAAGTGACGAAGAAACGTGGCGAGATGAAGCGCCTCGCGAATACGCTGAAGGCGGCAGAGGTGGAGGCTGTCGACAACCACAAGAAGCTCGTGGAAGCCCAGGTTGCAAAGGAAAGTATGGAGAAGCTTGTCGACAAACAGAAGGCACGTATCGATAAGTTGGACAGAGTCAAAATGACGACGGAGACGCTGGAGCTGTTCCGCAAGTTGAAAAAAGACCGATTTGACTTGCAGGTCAAGGTGCAAAGCCTGCAAATGCACTTGGCTCAAGCAGAGCAAGCTCCAGCACCAAGCCGGGAAGACTCTACGGAAAAGAGGTTGATTGACCACAAGACTGACGAACTGAAACAGTTGAAGGAGCAAGTCGAGGAGCTTCATGAAGCCGTACGCGTCGAAAAACTCAAAGCGCTACATGAAAAGGCGAAAATGCGTGCGGCATTGAACGATGAACGCGAGAAAGCTGAGCACGAGATCCAGGAAATGCAAGCCCTGGTGAAGGAAAAGATGGAGCTCGTGGAAACACTGGAGTCGCAAGTGGCGTCAGTCGAGGATGCGATGGCAAAGCTCCGCAAGCAGAAGAGCGAAAATGCGTCGAACCTTGAGACCGAAAACCTCAATCTTCACGTGAAAACTCGGGAGCTGAAGAAGCAGATGGAATTGACATTGTCAGGACCTGAGAAGGACGAAGTGATGCGAGGTACGCGCACCTATGATACACCAGCCGCCGCAGCTGCAAAGGCACTCAGCAGAGACATCATCTCCACGAGAAAAGATTCCGAGGTGAGTGTGGACACAAATGACGCCAATCTGGACGACTGCAACACTGCGTCACAACCGGAGAGAACTCGTTCAAATGCGACGAAAGCAGGCGGCTTCTTATTACCGACGCAAACGGATGCAATAGCCACTAACAGCCAGGACGAGTCGAAAGGAGGAGAGCACCCTGAGTGCGCACAGCAGTAGGCCTGCAAGTGGTAGATGGATTGATCGGATTGCCTGCATTGATGCGTCGGCAGTACTCCGCTGTGTTCCCTTCGGCATCAATTGAAGCCAGCAATGTTATGGTCCAACGCCAAGAGATAACACCGACAACTGGCGCTGGATGAGTGTCACGAACGGATGAAAGCTCTAGAATATACAGCAAAACCTCGTTGCATTCTGTCCAAACTATCGACGTCCGGTTCTGACACCACTTCTATGTTGTGCGAGCACCATATTCTATTCCTCGACCCGCCCTCCTCGTGTCGCGCTTTCCACCCGTCGTTACTCAACAAAATCACGAATACATCGTCTACTGGTCACGATCTACCAGTCCTGATCTCCACTGGCCGTCTCCTGCTCCTGTTCGTACTCAATCTCAACATACGGGCCACTGGCCTTCTTCTGCTTCTTGTCCGTCTTCTTTGACATCGCAATTGTCTTGCGCTTCTTACACTTTGCTGCGGCTTCATCTTCGCTATCGGTAGCGTCACTCTCTCCGTCGTCGTCGACGGCAAACTCGTCGGCCAGATCCTCGAGATCGCTCTCATCTTCCTCGAAATCCTCCACGTACTCAACCTGGCCAACGTCCTCGTCCTCAGTTTCATCGTCGTTGCCATCAAGCTCGTACTCGACCTCGTCTTCGCTTTCTTCCTCCATGGTCTGGCGCTTGCCCTTGCTCTCGAGCACCTTGGAGAACTCACGTTCAGGAAAGTTGTAAATGTCACCATACGTGCCCTTTTGCAGCCGCTCGAGCAGCTCTTTTTCAATCGAATTGTCAAGCTTGGCAGCCACCATCGCCTTCTTCTCTCGACGCTTCTCACGACGCTCAATCTTCTTGTTAATCACCACTAGCTTCGGCTTCGTCTTGAGCGTGAGCTTGCGCATCCGCATCAAATACTGATGAATCTTCGTCAGTCGCTGCTTGTTCTTGTGCACGAGTTTCTTGGGCCAGAACTGCAGCTGCTCGTCAATCTGTGCCAGTGACTTGGTGTAGTTCCTACTGAGCTTGACGCGCTCCCACAACCGGTTCGGCGTATGCGCACGCTCGATCGTCTTCATGTAGAGAAAACACACGCCGTTCTCCTCGCGGATCGTGGCGTAGCGACTATTGGCCAATGGACACGCCGTCCGATTGCACAGACCCGTCACGTTGTACGGGTTACTGCAGAACATGTTGCCTGTCCCTGGCAGTCTGTAGCACGAGGCAAGTAATGGACACACAAAGACATAGAGTACGTGAGTCTGTAGCACAAGGCAAGTCCATTGGTTGGCGGTTACGAATTGGATGCGATCAATTCGACTCGGTAGTGCCACGTACTTGCTCTTGAACGAGCAGAACTGCTTGGAGATGACGCCCCAGATCACTTCGTCGTGCTGCATTGTCTCGTGTCGCTGTCGCTGTGGCTAGAGAGAGAGCGAGAGCGAGAGGAAGACGAGCAGCTACTGCCAAGCGCTTGTGCTGATGGGAACCAGTAAAATGCGGCTGATAGCGACTGGAGAGTGGCTGAAATGATGGGTGAGTATTAGCGAATCATCGATCGCGTGCGACCGACCGGGATCAAACAGCTGGCAGGGGTCGTCGTCGTCTCAATAATCGACTCGCACTTCTGTGACTGACGTGGGTACATTTACTGTCCTTCGACTTGTACTCTCGCAGGAAAGGCATCCACTTTGCATTCTGCCGCTTCTCACACACTTCTTCACCTTTTCATTACGTTCTTCTTGCGAGATAAGTAGCACTCGCTCATACGGAACGCACTAGTGGTTTCGCTCGCATCTTTCTTCATTGCGTGAAAGCTACGGTGTCAAATAGGGCTGTAACATTGGAGCTTCCAGCGTCGTGGGCTTGCTGCAACTGCTGCGGTTATAGCTGCCTTGTTCACCAAATGGTTCATAGCTGCCCTGCAATCGACAGGTCCACCTTGCACAACAGCTCAATGTCCTCAACCATAGCGGTAAAGTCCAGCTTGGGGCTGTAGCGTCTGTACGGCGTGCCGTCCGGGCTAACGAGGAACTGCACACGCACGTAGCAGCAACAGCAACAGCACAACCAGATCAGCATAGAACACACCGAACAAGATCAGTAGTCAGCAACATCTAGCCACTGTGCAGGACCCAGCACCTAGTAGCTAGCACGAGCGGTTCGTGGAGTACCTTTTCAAAGTTCCAGCTCACGTCTGCGCGAGTCACTGGCATCCAAACGAGTCGCATCGGGTGCGAAAAGACGCCACTGGGTGTCGTCATTTCGTCCAGCAGCGTGCGATCGCACGGGTGAGGCAGCGCCATGCGCAGAAAGTTAAACACCGCATGGGCGTGCGCGCCATTGACCTCGACTTTCTCCGTAAGCGGAAACGCTGGCTCAAAGCCTTTTCCCGGTCGAACGTGCCGCAAGCTCTGGTAAATCTCGTCTCCATTGAGGTTCTCCTGATGACCGAACTGGTTGCACGGACAGCCAAGGATCACGAGCTTCGGGAAGCGCTGGCTCAAGTCGTTCAGCTGGACATAGGCCGTGGTCGTCGAGTTGCAATGGGAAGCTACGTTTACGATGAGAATAGGCTTGCCCGCATACTCGGACAGACGCAGGACCTTGGAGCCGGTGAGGGATCGGAACGAAAAGCTGTGGACGGTCTTTCGTCGCGCAGTGGAGACGCAGTCGCGAGTGGATGATGAGACATGACTGGTCATGGGAACCGCTACTGCTACAGGGACGTGATGGCCGTCGTGGAGGTCGTTATGGGCGTGGGTCTGGGTGCGTTGGGTGCAATCGTCAGTTGAGACGTCGTCGCTGTTACTGTTGACGTGCTTTGTCATGGGTGAAAGGGATTCTGAGGAGGATTGTTGCAGCAAGTGGCTGGCTGGCTGGCTGATCGAAATGCTGACAGGGGCTTGGCCAGGGTTGGCCTGGAGTAAGGGACGCCACAGTAGCGTAAAGAAGGCGAAATTGAAGAACCAGTGGATGTGTGTGCAAGATGGTTGACACTTGCTCATGCAGGATGTTACCGCTACCAAGTGGTAACTCATAATGGATGCAACACAACTGTCGTTGTGGACCCTGTTCGAGATGTACGTGGAGCCAGGCTCCACTCGCTGCTGTTCGACATCCACGTGTTGGTCTTTGACGGACAACGACCGACATCCAGTACAATTGTACAATGACAGTGAAGAAGTTGGGTCTCCTTGGAATACTGTCGCCTTCTACTCGGCCCATCGATGCATTTGTCCTGTGGAGCTTGACTCGGATCAGGTGCCGTCACATCGGTCGCTATGGCATCAGTGTCGTCTCGAATACGGTTTCAAACTCATTGAGGCATCGATGATGCATTGCGATTGGAATAGCGACTTGCATGTTTGGACACCACATGCAGTCGTGCGATGACATTTCCACACTTTATCCTGTTTTTTTGCTGGTCTGTTGACGTCATTCCAGACTTGTGACGGACGTTGAGGGGCTGCTGTATAGCGCCGTCCGTCCGTCCGTGGGCGCCTGCATGTCAAGTCAAGTTAGTCCCAAGGCCCATTGAACTGTGTTTTCGTCCGTATTTGTCCCATTTGCAGCGACCTAAGGACCGGCTCACGAGACACTGGCGGCACAGTCTGCCGTATAGTGGAGTGCTCTCTCTTTTGATGGGATCAGGTAAGTGTAAAACCGGTCATACGCTTTCTTGCCGCGTCATTCATGTGGCGAAACTTTGCTGAAACCGCAAGAGGTGGACCGCATCGTCCTTCGACTCAGTGCGTGTGGATATGCGCGTAGTAGTAGAACCATCGATTAGCACACTATTTCGAATGTAAATATGTAGGTGGCGTGATCGGGGTGGAACTTTGCTGATTCGGAAGAGTTGGTGTCGAGTTTAAGCGTTTCAACACTTTTTCCGTCAGAAAGTGCCCACGCGACTGCTTTTTTGCTCGAGCGTATCCGGATATAAGCATGTCGAAGTGGATGGTTACATTGTCGCACGGGCTGCGGGACAGTCGATCGATAGACGAGGCAGTGAGTAATCTGAACCATGTGACACTGTTCATCTGATTTTATTCTCACCTTCACTTTTTCGTTACTTCACGGTCGTCTTTTGCTTTATTTATTCCGTCGCCGAACAAAACGTGCACGTTATCGCAAATGAAGCACCGACCAAAAAAGCTGTAGCCATCTCGGACCTACACGCCCATGAACGTTGACATTACGCTTGTAGGACTCACTCCCGCACTGAGCAGCCCAAAGAAGCACTTTACGGTCGTTTGTCAGCCTATCAAGAAGATAAGCGTTGCGTCGTTGCGTGACTATACCGTGTAAGCGGCGCCTGGCCCTTACACAGTGATACAACTGTGATGATTATTCCCCGCACGGGATATGTCAGCGAGAAAGCAGGTAAAAGGACAGGCGTGGCATTCCCATACTCGCGTATACCTCGTACTGACGTCGGCAGCCACAAACTCCACGAGGTCGACACACAAGCTATAAAAAGCAAAAGGGAGAAAAAAACTCATGATCTCGTCGTCTTCACTGAGTTCAGCAGCAGTAAAAAAGCAGCAAAAGAAAGCAGTCGAAATTTTGCCTTTGTGGACGACCGGCCACTGTCTCTTTTCCTCCTTTAACCGCAGCACTCAAGAGCTGCTGGTGGTACGAACACACAACTTTACCCGGACCACCTGCCACGAAGGACCAGTTTCGCGATCGATTGGCTAATGTGCCATCGCTGATTGGTCAGCCGAATCCCACCCACTGGCTACCGTCCCCGACCCCACACATTCCTTTCGACAAATCTGACTGTCCGTCGTCGCGAAGCAGCCGGCAGTTCTCCATCGACCTCATCGTGCCCAAGCGCCTCCCTCCCTCTCAGTCTCCCTCCCCCTCTCTCTCTCTCGCAGCCAGCCAGTGAGCGCGTCATGCCGCCCAGCGCCATGCGTCTGCAGCCACAAAACGCGTCGCTGTCGTCCACCGTCAAGACGCCGCCCAAGTCGTCGCTCGGTCTGCCGCCTCGGCCAATCGCCGCCAGCGGCCACGCGCCAAGTGCCACGCGCTCTCGCACGCAGAGTCTCCCCAGTATACACAAGCAGCAGCCACTACAGCAGCAGCAGCAGCAGTTGGTGCTGGACCGCCGTCTCTTTTCCCGCTTGGAGCAAGTGACGAGTGAAGTGGCGCAGCTGGAGCGTCTCGAGCGCTTGAACGTGGCCGAGGAGTCGCGGACGACGACGACAGACGGGGATGACGCGATGGACAGTTGTCTCGAGCCGTATCCGGAGCTGGTGGTCGTGCAGACGGAGCTGCAGCAGGCGCGACGGCGGTCGCTGCGTCTCCGCGAGGACCAGAAGCTCATGACGCAGACGCTCGAGGCGCGGCAGGAGCGCACGGGGCTGAAAAAGTACGTGGCGCTGGCCACGGGGTCGTTTAAGCAGCACAAGAGGAAGACGGAGGCACTCAAGAAGACGCTGGGACAGCACATGGCTGACGCGGTGCGCGCGGACGCTGAGCTGGAGCTGCTGGAGAGACGGTCGAGTACGCTCGTGGGCGAGTGGAAACGCCGCTCGTCATTTTCCATGACCTCGAGACGGAGCGCGCGACGGAGTAGCAGCAGCAGCAGTAGTACTGGCTACTGTGGGGTTCTTGTCGGTCAGCCGGAAGGCGAGGACGACGTGGAGCAGAGGGCGAGCTGGACCACTGGAGACGGTGACGTTGATGGTGGCTACTTTAACGAGGAAGACGAAGAAGAAGAAGAAGGGGAGGACATGGAAGTTGCTGAACGACTGGAGAAATTGGAGAGGGAGAAACAGAGGTTGCTGAGTCATTTGCTGCGGACACTGCGACTTCCAGATGCCATTCGGATGCATACGAATGTAGCCATGTACGTCTCGGAAGTGCAGGCGTGCGAGTCGATCAAGAAACAGATCGACCGTGCAGTTGGACTGTATCAACAGGCACTGCAGTTGCTGCGGATGGCGATGGCGACGGTCGTGTCGTCACAGTACTCGGGCTCGGCGAGGGAGTTTGCCACGGGTCCGTTCGCTCTCACAGTGGAAGCTGGTCAGCTCATGAAAGCAGCGGCGATTGGGCTTCAGCCTGAAGCTCGTCGCAGGTACCGGCAGTTCACGCCCGAGCTACAGACGCTGCGTCTGCCCAAGTTCCCTCAAGTCGTGAGCGACTTTGTGCGACGGGCACGAACGACTTTTGATCCACGCAGTGCATTGGCACAGGAGACGGTGAGGCGCCTTCCGGCCTGCGAGACTACCATGGTGATGACACACAAGCTCGTGATTGAGAAACTTGAGCTGCTCGACCGATGGAAACAGACGGTTGAAGCGGACCAGGCCCATGCACTCGATGCGCAGCGTCGTCTCGAGACGCATTTGCAGCAGCGTCTCACCGTCCTGGCTCGATCTATGTCAGTCTGAAGCTCAGCGCAGTAAAGTATCTTTATGCTTGCGCTGTGTGAAAGTGGCGAGGTGAAGACCGTCAGCTTCTCGCTTTCCAGTTGATGCGTTCGTAACTTATGAGTTCAGGCGACGAGAAGGCCAGAGCCATACGAGCGTGAGCGATACATCGCGACGTGTCGACAATGTCGTTGTGAGGCGACGGCTGATGGCAGCAGGTGAGTGAGATGCTATCAAATGAAAATGACGGTCGCAACTTGCTGTACAAAACATGCATGCAACGCGACAGCGGGTGAGAAGCAAGAACGACAAGAGTGCGCTGACATGTGTGTGTGGACAGTATACCTTGTAGCCGACCTTTCTCTGTCTAGACCTGTAGCGTTTAATCACTGGCCCCAGTCTCCCATGTTCACATCGTTCTCGTCGGGCTGGTTCAAGCCGGGATGCTGCATGTTATCGTTCAGACCGCGGTATGGTCGGCCCATCAGAAACTCTTGGCCCGGCGTAGTCCGTGGCTGATCCGGCTGCTGCTGCTGCTGCTGTAGCTCACTCGCGAACATGTGATGGTGGTCGGGAAGCTGCCGCTGTGGTCCCGTCATAATCTGGGAACCAAACACGTCCTGCGAGTTGAGCTGCCCGCCCTGACCATCGTCTCCATAAAAGCTTGTTCGCGCTGCCGCTGTCTGCTGGACAGCACCACGTGCCGCTTCGCTAGGCGTGATGTAGTGAGCTCCACGCAGGCTTCCTGACGTGGCGCTGCCCACAAAGTGGCTCGAGTCCTGGTGCCGCACAACATCGTGCATGTTGATGCCCATTTGAGCCGCCTGCTGGACGTACACGTCTTGCTGACTGGTTCCCATGCCGGCAGACATGAGGATGGTCTTGGGTATATCGCCGTACAGTGGATGCTGCAGCTGGCGAGAGTGCTGCTGCTGTTGAAGTGCGGCTTGTTGTTGTTGAAGTTGTTGTTGTTGCTGCTGGCTGAGCATTTGCAGATGAGGTGGTCCAGAAGGCACGACTTGCGGGAGACTCGTCGATTTGCCGTGTTGAAAGTGCCGTTTTTGCTCTTGCTGCTGCTGCTGCTCCTGCTGTCGGCGTCGGAGCTCCAGTTCAAGTCGCTGCTGATCTTGCCGTCGTCGCTGTTGTTCTTGGCGTTGCTGCTCCTGTCGCTGGGTTTCATTTCGCTCCAGCTCCTGCTGGCGCTGTGTCTCCTGGTGCTGCTGCTGCTCGAGACGCTGCTGCTGCTGCTCGTTGAGTTGTTGTTCAAGATGCTGTTGCTTCGAACGGTGTTGCTCCTCCAGGCATCGCTGTTCCTCGACACGTTGTTGCTGTTCGCGACGCTTTTGTTGCAGTCGTTGATGCTCGCGTCCCAGTTGCTGCTGCTCCAGCTCCCGGCGCTCCTGCTCCTGACGATCCTGCTCTTGACACTGCTTCTCAATACGCAGTCGTTCCCGCTCTTGACGTAGATGTTCAGGATGCAGCTGCTGCCTGTTCGACATCTCGAACCCTTGGTCCGAGAACGAGTGCTGGCTTTGACCAGAAAATCGCACAGCCGGCTGAGTTGGCTGCGGTCTAGCGGGTGGTTGTGCAAGCGTGTTCCGCTTGTCACTGCTACCGTTTCTGTCGGGAATCACGAACTGACCTGGGGATGTGAAAACGCGCGACGCATCCAGTACGGGCTTTTCAGTTGACAATAACGGGTTCAGCAAGTCCGTGCGGGGATCGTTTCCACCAGAAATATCGGGCAGAACTGAAGAAATGTCAGCAATTGCGCGAGACGCTTGCTCTAAGTCTTCTTCGCTGTCTTCGCATGACTTGCTGGCAGCAGAGCTATAATGAGAGTCCCTTCCGTCTGAATCCTCGGTGCCAAGCAGCGACGAAATACCCTTCTTTTCTCTCGGAAGTGTCGCTTCAATGGCTGCCGTAGCAGCAGAGCTCGAATCGATATCGGAGAACGTGTCAGAATGATGGCCAGCATCGTTCAAGCATTGCTTTTTGGCCTCGGGCTCTTCTACGCTCGCATCGTCGTCGTCGTCAGCTCGTTGACGACCATATACAGTATGTTCATCTCCATCGTCCTTGGCCGCAGCTTCTGCTTCCTCCTTTAGCCTCAACTCTTCCTCTTCTGCATCCGTCTTCGCGTCGCGGCATTTATGGTACAGCATATCAGCTCTCGTGACAATTTCCTCGCTCAAATGCTCTTCCCGAGCGATCTTGAGAATGCCAGAAAGTGTATGGCGCATACGCGCACGATTGTGACGAATGGAATTCAGATTCATCCTAAAGTTAGCAATCTGGCGTTCAATGAGACGTTTCGAAGGAGGGATTCCTATCTGTGCGAACAATGGCACGCTCGGTGGAGACGTTACAGCAGCACCCGTGCACTTTCGCTTTGTGCCGATCAACGACAGTGACTTGTTCAGATTCGACGTCATGGTAACGAAATGGCGCTCCATCTTTGTCCATTCATTCATCACTTCCGTGATATCACGCAGCTTTTCGAGCAAAACCGTTAACAGCAGCTGGTCGCTACTCGTTGTCATGAGTTTCGTGCTATGACGGTACGACGGCACAAAACGATCCTTAATGTTTGTGGATCGAATGAAATGACGGCGGCGGTTGATGCTTTTGAGAAGCACCTCATCGTAGTAAATTTTCTCTTCGCACATCCTCAATTCGCTCGAATGCTGATTAATCGAATCCACCATTTTCGAGATAGCCATGGCCTCTACAGTACGAGATTCTTCCAGTCCCATCACTTCGTTCTCAGCGATTCGCAGATGCTTTTCAGTGCGCTTAGCTAGTGCACTTGTGGTGCGCTCAAATTGAGACTGTGATGATAAGATCTGATGGCGTAAGTCAAAGATCTCTATGAGAGCATCCACTTCAGACGTGTTGCAGGATGCAGTGTCATCATGGTCATCTTCCTGTGCGCCACCCCGCTCGTTGTCGTATTCACTTTCGAGCTGATTTGCCGCCAGTATCTTTACTTTGCCATATTCCACAAGCTGCACCAAATGCGTTTTTTCAAGGTGCACTAACGTCGCACCCGTGCTGTTGGCAATCAAGCTAGCCCTATCATCTCTGGACGAGACCTCTGCAATAAGATTGTCAATCAACAGCAGAAAATCTTCTTCCGCCTAGACGATCAAACGTACGAAAAGAACGGGTTAGTTGTCAACCATCGTCTTCCCACAACCACAACAATAAACGTACGCTCGTAGTCTCTTCTGCCTGGGTAACAGACACTTGCCCGGTCTCGATGATTTCTTTAGCAGGATCGTCTCCATCGCTTTCGAGGACATTATCTCCAACTTCCTGTGCTACCGGCACATCAGTGGGTACGTCAATTGCCGCCTGCTTTCTCTCCTTCTCTTCCACAGTATCAACAGTAACATTCATTTGCCCCGTTGTCTCGGCCGCCTCTGCCTCGCACAATGCCTCTTGGGTTGAGCCCTCGCTGGCCTTTGTTTCACGGTCAGTTCGCATCCCTGCCTTTGGCTCGATCGAGCACTCAGCGGTCGTCACAGACGTGTCGTTGTGACTAGACTCGTTCGTTTGATCTTCTTCCGACTCACCAACAGAGACGACGGCTTCAACACCAGCTTCCTTCGCTTTCTCCACATCATCAACAGCATCTTTTGCACTATCAACTGGAGTGGAACAACCGTCACTTTCTGCAACGCTGCCATCAATCTTCGCTTCAACCGCCTTTACCGCAACTGTCATCGTCGTCGTCGTCGTCATCTTTTCCTTTGCTTTCTTCTGCTCTGCAATCCTCTCCACAAGCACACGACGTGTCTGCTGAAGAAACTCGAGAATCCGGTTGGCTTGTCCCGTTACACACTGCTCACAAAACCAGGATTCAGCTCCACCTGTCTTGAGTGCAGGACTCGCACACTTCCAGTGTGTTTTGCTGTGGCAAGCGCTGCACTCAACAACGTCCGTCGTGGCTTCTTTCCGACATGCACTGCACTTCTGCACGCAGCAATAACATGACAACAACAACAACAACAACGATCAGAATAGCAATAACAGCGACAGCAATCAGGTCTTGTCACCACAGACACTGACAATGGACGTACTGGCACCGCTTTCCGTGTGGCCAGAGCAGCAGTCAATTGAGCCACTCGCTCCTTCACGGTCAGCGACGGTGGCACGGCCTTCCTCTCTTTACCGGTCGAGCGCGCATTGGTTCCCCGTTTGCGAATGTTCAGCCGATCTTTAATGTCTTTGAGACTTTCGCCCGATGCAGCCGAGTACATAGACGACCAGCCAGCATCGGTCTTGAGAGCTGCGGGTAGGCGACACGTTAGTCCGGACACGGTTGTTCCATCCAAAGAAACCAAGTGCTGACATTTAGCCAATGAACAACACGTACTCGGATTTAAGGTGCGTTTCATGTGCAGCGCACAGGGCACTGGCGACGTGTATACTTCGTTCTTATACCGGATCGACCCATCCGGCAGCAGGTCGGCGTATACACGTTTGCGATAGTACGATACATACAGTCTCTTGGGACCTGTTGAGGAGACGGAGGGTGTATACAGAGCTGGGTATACGTATACACGACCCCTTCGAAAGGATTCCTAGCACGTACCTGGCACCAGCAGTTTCTCGTCCATGAGGGTCGTCAACACAATGCGCGCATCTCCCTATACGTATAGTAGCACCACGAGTATACATGCAGCACACACACGAGAGCGCCATGTCAGTGACGGTAAAGGCTCATTGTGACCAATAGACGCAAAGGGATCACAACGTACCATGACGAAGGACGCAACAAGGCGACGGAGCGTTCGGAAGGCGGAGGGAGAGAGAGAGAGACGCACACAGGGACGACGAGAGTGGCGCTAGTCGGGGGATTGTGGCTGCGATTTACGTGATGTATACAGATACTACCGATGAGGATCGACAATCGCACTTGGAAAATTAATTGATACTTGTGGGAACGTATACAGTTTGCACTGATACTGAACAAACGATAGTTGCTAAAAGTCCCGACTTTTTGTTAACAACGACGGACATTTCAGTTAGGTTTGTTGCGACGGGCTTTTCTGATAGGTTTGCTGCGACGAGCTTTTCGTGTGTACTGAAATAAGACAAGTGAGCAGAGCAGTTGGAAAAAAGAAAACAAAAAGCTGCAAATGCTTTTTACGAAGCACATTTTGTCGCAACTGAGACGTACCGACACAGACCCCACCCAACCCACCCTTATCCCCTGCTTCTTTTCGGCCAGAGGATCGATCATAACGTGACTGACATCCATCACGCCATGAAACGCGTACAACTTCCTTACCCGAACTGTCCAGCGTCCAGAACATGTCTGGAATCGTAAGCTTAGAATGCAAACGGCGTAGACACCAAGCTGATTTTGCATCGACAAAACGTCGACCGCTTTGACCGACTTAGCTGTAATCAATCACGTGCTAGATGTCCACCGTCTCCGACAACCTTTGCGCGTATCTGAAGCTGAGCAGACGGAGGTCGAAAGTAGGTTCCAGCGTAGTAAGTGTGCTTCGAATACACGGCCAGCCATTCTCCAGCAACACGTAAAGCATCGACCACAGGGTTGCTTCGTCGAGACTGCTTGCATCACCAAACAAGCTGCAAGTCTCCCTGATAAATACGTGATGGCCTGCGATAAGCGAGCTTGCAACGGGTGTCTTTTTCCCGTGCTGAAAAACTGTCCCAAGCGCAGAAAGTGATCAATTGCTCTAGCTTCTGCGTGATCAGCCAAGTGCGTCAAGACCATCGAGACTCGTACGTTTATTGCGTCTTTGACGCTTCGATCGAAAACTCAGCAGCGCCTCGTGGCCTGCTTCATCCATTCTTCTTCCCAGCCCAGCTCGTGATGCAATCCACTAACACTGCACAATAAAAATCACCACGCTCGTATGATGTCCTCATTCTGGCCTACCGAAGTGCTCCACAAGTGATCACTCCAAAGAGAATCCAAACGATACTGCATCCTCCGACAAATTGAACGCACATTTCCCTCGTCCTTCAGCGAACACGTATGCTCACGCCTACATAAGTCAACCGGCACCAGTTGGGGAGACCATCGGACTAGTACCCACTCTGCATTACTACAAGGAGTTGCTCCTGTAGTCGCTGCTTAATAGCAGAGTAAAATCGTAGATCAGCCTCCAAAGACTGCTTGTAATTGCCGTTGACCTTCGCGTCGACACTTGTTAGCCCACGGTGGCACCGACCAATGTTCTCGTTCACTTTACGTAGCCGACTCTCCAAAATGTCCCACTCATCAGGAGGCAACACCACGTCTACTGCTCGTCCAGCAAGTGCCGTCGAGAACGCTTTGGCCGAATGCGCCTGCTTGCCGGAGTGCGGAACAATATCGCTCACGCTAGAGACATTGACAATCGCGGTAGCACTTTCTTCACGTGGCCGTTTTCCAAGTGACGATGTCGTTGCGTCCACACACTTGTCGCCAGCGGGAGACTTGCTTTGGACACGCGTGCTCAAAGCACTAGCTTCAGACCGGGACTCTGTCTTTTTCTGCTTCAGCGGCAACGCCTTTGACTTCGATCCTCTCGCTGACTGCGCACCCGCTCCACGGTTTAACGTCTTTCCGTTGCCGACTGTTTGAAGCTTCTTCCGCGCAAGCGACTTCAGAGCCGACGATTCTGACGTCCGCCTATTTGCTTTAGCCACCGTACTGGCGGTTCGTACAGCAGCCGTCTTTGCTGGTACAGCATTCAGGAACGAAGTCGCAAGTGGCAAAAATTCGTCCATCTCTGGATTCTGTGTTGGTATCTTGCAAGGTCGTGAGATAGGGGCGGACTTTGATGGAACAGCACCGGCGTCACTTCCAGTAGCAGCCACCGTCGAAACATCGACACCAGCAACCACGGGAGTCGAAGTAGAAGCACATACAGCAGATGCAGTAGTAGCAGCAGTTTTAACTGCAGGAGTCAAAGCAATGTCAGGAGTAGCAGTAGCGGCTGTAGGAGCCGAAGCAGCTACAGCCGAAGTAGTAGCAGTAGCAGCAACTACAGCAGCAGGAGTCGAAGCAGGTACAGCAGTAGCAGCTTCAGTAGCTACGGGAGTAGCAGTAGCAGGAGTCGAAGTAGCTGCAGAAGAAGCGCTAACAGCTGCATGAGGAGCAGGGATAGCAGGAGCAAAAGCCTTAGCTGCATCTGCAGCACCCGATTTGATCTCAGGAGACGTACGAGTGGACACAGGACCCGTCTTAGCTTCGTCTACCAACGACTTGCCAGATGACCGAGCTGGAACCTTCGTACCGCTCCTCGCATCTTCAGATGTTCCATGTGCAGCATCGACCTTCCCTCCATGTCCAGGCGTCTCCATCTTGATCTTGCTACTCCCATCCCCATCAGCAAACACCAGTTTACCCGACAAGAGGAACTCGTACAGCTTTGGTTCAAGCAGCATCGCCATGTGTAGATACAGCAAGTCCAGTCGCCCCGCACAAAAGTCCACGAAAGAGTGCGTCGCGTCCCCTTTCCCTCCTGCAGCATCAGCAGCAGTAGCAGCAGCTTCTGCCTTTGCCACTGCATCTCGATACAACGTGACAATGTCCATCCACATCTCCACGAGCCGCGACGCCGAGTGCGCGACCACCACGTGCGGCGTCACGTCCTTGAACAGCGCGTCATCAAAGAGCAGTCCGTCCAGCTCCGGGGTCCGCTTTCTCTGCCGGAAAGCCGCGTGCACGTCCAGCCACAACGAGGTCATCTCGAGCGTTCCATTGGACGTCTTCATGGCGTCCCAGCGGTCGATAAACGCCCGACTCAAGAGCACGTTCAAGAGACGGAACCTGCAGCTGCGACGTGTGCGAACGACGTGCAGAGCGCTCGGATCCGACGCTTGTGACGGGCGCGGTAACGTCAACGGTGCAGCAGCTGATCTCGTGGCTCTCGTGGCCTTGTCATTGGCTCGTAAGAGCGCGATGAAGTTGACGCGGTTAGCGACGCGGTACGGACCGGTGCGTGGCAGATGGAGGCAGCGTGCGGACACGGCACGGCGCAAGTCGGCGTACGCGTGGTCTTCGTAGGGCTCGTGGAGCGTGGACGGCGTCTTGGTCGACGCTTTGGGTGGCATGAGGATGGGCGACAACTGCGTTGCCGCGTTTTTTTTTGGAGTTGGCGGGGTTTTTCGGGGTCGGGATGGGGTCGGGTGCAGTCTTTTCGATACAGACGGATCGGTCTTGGTGTGTGGAGATTGACTATTTGGACCAAGACGTTTTGCACTTTTGTGATTTGGTCGTGATGTTTGAGTAACATCAAGCTTGGTGACGACATATCGAGTCGTCGTTCGCGCACGTAAATTTAGCTACAGGGACTATTTTTTTCGCACCTTTATCCGACCGGGCTTCAAGTGTTGAGTATTCGACATCGATTTTTTAGGAGACCAAGACGTCGTGTCTCATCGTGACTCCAATTTGATCTCGTTCTAATGACATGTTTGAGAAGATTAGGAACAGAGTAGACGATAGAATCGAAGCTCATCGTAGTGGGAATGCGGGGACCTCCGATCGTAGACCTGCACCATTTTCTGTGCCACTCACTTCGAGTCGACTAGAGCTGACACCTTGCACAGGTTGCACATACTTTGCCTACTTTCCAACTATACTCGCCTAGTGCTGACATGGCGACATTGTCCTCAGCCAGCTCATCCATACAGATGACGATAGCGATCGTTTATTGATCGTCGTGAAGTGGTCCTTTTGGCATTGCAAGTCATAGAAGCAGCTCAACTTCCATCGTAGGCCTATTCGACCGCAAACAGAAGTGAAATTGATCAGCATTAGACACTAAGAGTATCGAAGTGCGAGAGTTTATCTTCGCCCGATAGGAGCTTGGATGGATCGTAAAGGTACTCAAGCCTATCTTGATCTACACGAGTTGTACGTACTACACGAGTACAAACATGTTGGCAGCTCGACGTGGATCTCTATCCAGCTGGGCAATCAGTACTTGACGCGGACGGGCAAGTGGCACAGTCTCATCGCTCTTACGACCGATCCTCGCACGATGCGAATGGCGGGTAAACTTTGCAGGCATCTTTGAGCTCAAGATGCACGGCTGGTACACTCGTATGATATGCAATAGATGAAGAACTTGATAGAGAAACATGAATGTAGCAGTAACAATGCCGATCTGACAGTGCGACCAGAGCAAAAAGCGGTAGTAGTCTCATGGTGAAAGACCGATTCGCAGCAATTTTTGACGCATAACAATGACCCATCAAATGGCCGGTGACTTATGCACTCGATCTAGACGCCTCGCGCGCACGCTTGGCGATTTGCACTGCGAATTGTCAGCAACACAACTCTTCAAATTGACATGCACCTTAAATGCAAGCCAACCTCCTTTGAACGAGTTGTGTCAACAAGAATTTACACCTCAAAACAGGAAGCAGAGCGACACTCCGCACCAAAGCGTTGGCGGTATCGAAAACGTAGACGATCTAGTGGCAAGATCGTTTCCGAGCGTGGTTTTACGAGCTAGGATGCTCTCATTATGCGTCTTGTTTTCAGCAACTGTACCGCCTCGAGTCAGATAGAAGCAAACGGTGAGTCCCTGACTCATCACAAGTACAACGCGAAAAAGTAACGAGAACACTTTTTGAAGACATGAGCTTTTCGGAAGCAGTAAAGTGTCACGAGGGCTATGGTAATGCGGATGTTTAGTACAAGCAAAGGGTGATAAGCTGGCTACACTCCGTACGTTTAGGTGTGCACGCTCCATGAGTGTCTTGCGTTGCTAACTCTACACGTAAGACTGTATGAATGACAACTTGAACGCATTTGATGATGATGGCTCGTTTGTGGTACTTAGCAGACTAGAGATACTTTCTTCAGCGTGCGCGGAGATCGGTCTCCGTAGAAGCGCTCGAAAGGGATTCACGACATCGTGTATTACAGAGCTCAAGAGCTGGTGACTAGAAGCAGTGATTCAGTTGAAGGCAAACTGGAAGCTACAACTGGAAGTCGCACGATAGCACTATGCAGTGTCTACTACCAATTTTACTGCTATGTAGAAGACAAATAAACACGTTAAGCAACCCCTCTCTGTCAAGCAACGATCGTCGCAACTACTATACGCGAAGTCCTGTCTAAATCGAGCACGATGACGTATTACTCAGCCTCTGCACAAGAGATGCTGTTGACTCTCCACTGAGACGGGCAATCAAACAACGACATAACGTGTTATGTGGCTAGAACCTGCTTAGTAATGCGACTTGATCCGTCGCTGGTGCGATCAGCGACGCAGCGAGCAGATGAGATGCTTCAGTCAGCGGGTTGTGTCCTGCAGGCTCGCAGTGAGTGAATGATGTAAGGCTCTTGTACTCGCAAGAAGTCTAACGCGAAATCGATCGTATTCGTGTTGCATTAGACTAATAAATAGCGCAACTGGGTAGCCTTGGACGAGGTGAGGAGAGAGAGAGATGCGGGTCTGCCACTGTGTCGTCTGCCTGTCGAGTTGCGTCTCCGATAAGTAGACCAGGTAAGTACAAAGAGGTGGGCTGCTACAAAGGAGTGGGCTGCCACGTGCGTGCCAATTGACGGCCGCCTATACTGAATGTGCGCTGGGTCGCAACTTCTTGGCCTTCACCTTCTTTGCGGGGTAGTAGGCACGACGACGATAGGCCTCGAGTGACGGGTTGACGGGCACGAGTGCATGGTCTTCTTTGATACACGGCAAGGGCTTACCCACCTTCCTCTTGCGCTTGTGAGCGTCGCGTGTGAATGGTACACGCTTGCCACTCACTGTGACGCGGCCTTGCTTCTCTCGGGTGAGGTAGGTATTGGGAATCGACACGGGCGGCACGACGACGTCCATTGCCGCTGTCTTGTGTTCGACTCGGTTCCGACGCTCGTGCTTGAACAGCTGCCGAAAGGAGAAGCGGTGCTTCTGTCTGCTCGTCTCACCCATTCGTGGTTTATTACTCCAAGTCGGGCTCAATGAACGCGGGTGCGCTGCGTGAATTGGTTCAGGACTGCTTGCACCCTTGCCATGGCAGAAGTTGTGGGTCCAGATGCGAGCTCCATGCATGTGCGACTTTAGAGGTGCCAGGACATTGTCCATTGTTGCGGGTGGGACGATCGCCTCTCGGTGCTTCCACGACATGTTGACGGTCATCTTCGACACGACGAAGTTGAGCGCCGGTGCGAGACCGATCAATCTGGTTGGAAAATGGTTCCGAGCGACGTTGTTGCGCGTGACATGTTGGACATGGTTCTGCACACTTGAAGCAGATGGCGGCAGGCACGAGTTCACTTGCCTCGCCTGACCAACTCCCTGCGATACAATTTTTCAGCTGTTCTTATGATTTGGAACCGCCTACGAGTCCCGAGATGAGGCTGTTTCGCAAGCATGTCGTTGACCGTCGAGTTGGAGCACGTGAATCTACTGAATATACAAGTAGAGGCTCGACTTTGAATCTGACACACGGTGCCGATTACGGTCGAAGCAAAGGCACACTTACATATTTAGTAAGAGGCAGACCTAAGAAGGCAGGCATTATTACTGCGCATGAATTTGGGAGAACAAAAGCTCTCCTGCGTTCACTCGTGACTTCGTTCTTGGTTGGGATCGATGTTCACAGCCGTCCAGATTCGTTCGCAATCGACAACAAGAGACTCAACTACTTGCAGTCCATTACGATCGAACCACAGCTTCAACTGCAGAACATCGCCGAACGACGACACCTGGACGCTGGTCTGAGACGCTCGACGCCGTCCATCTATCGCACCCGAAGCGCTGCTGTTGCGTCAGCCAAATTTTACTCGCCGGGAGCCTTTTTCGCCGCGACACGTTGGTTGAACCAGAGCATGCTTTGACAGACGGGTCGCCACGACAAGTCGTTGTCGAGTCGAGATTCTAGGCGGCGCCAACCATCGGACTGCCACGAACAAAAGAGCCACTTCCCTCCGACAAGGCCGCGGCCAATAATTCGTGACGCACATCGCACCTGCATGACAGCAGTTGTCGTGCAACATCGAGATCACGCCAAAAATTGATGCCCGATCGAAAAAAGTGCTTGCAATGGCCTGGACCATGAATAAGTTGCCATGAGGTCGGTCACAGCACGGCATGGTAGCAGCAAGCTGTCATTCCAGCTGATACCACTGCAGGGAGGGTTGACAGCGCCAGAAGGATCAGATCCAGTCGCTTGAACGCTTTCTTGTGACACGTTCAAGTCTCTGGCTGGCAACTTCCCACCCCACCTCAGAGTTGCGATCTCGTCTGCAGCCTCACCGATAGCGCTGCAGGCAGACCTTCTTGCGCGTTCCTTTCAACTCGCTGATGCTTGTTTCGAATCAACCGGGATGCTATCACGGTGGCACATGGAGTTTGCGCAGTGCATGAAAGGAGTGGCGCATAGTGCGTGCGCATGTAAGAAGTAGGTTCGATCGAGATTTGACGTTTGAGCACGAGCACTTCGAGATGTCGACGGTGCCGCTCTCATGACTCGTGCTTTCGATCGTGTTCTTAGTCGATAGGACGTCTAAGACGGCACTACTATCGTGCCGATTGGGGACAACACAAAGTCCGTCAGCCTTGGGCATTACTGGGTGACACACAAACTTGTTGCTTAGCATTTCGGCAAACTCATGCACCTCAGCACCCACGCCAGCGATCCAAGGGTGGCTTATCCCGGTCGTCAGCAGTAGCACCGAGAGCAAAACCAGATGACAAGATTGTTGAATGGCAAGCAAGTAATGTCCGGACTGGGTCGTTCGAACTTTGACATGCTTCACATGTACATGGATCATGCAGGGAGAGGCGCTGCACTGCCTGTTCCACTGCGTGAACTACATTCGCGCGTTGTTTCTCACCGGACGACTGATGTGTTGTAAACGAGGTGTCACGTTGAACTCTATCGTTGCTCACACTGAGCAACGCAAGGAATCTGTGGAGGTGTAATTTTACACATACAGTATGCATGCTGTTCATCTGCTGCTGTTTTCTCGGTGGAACTTGTCGAGCAATCGCGTCTGATGTTTTCCTGAATTCGGGTAATGGCGATCAAAATTGTGGAACACGTTCAGAGTGAGCGATGACTTTGACGATGTAATTTTACCCGAAAACTGAAAAACAACAGCAAAAGATGACGGGTATATCGAGTTCTGGAGCATGATTCCCTGATCGTTGCCACGACTGCATTCGTAATTAGTTAGCTCAACGATGGGCTGTGATATAACTGACACATGCAATGACACTAGCTGGTTTCGAGAATCTTTTTTAGACCTAATTTCTTTCGTCCTGCTTCTATTTTGATCCTGGTTCAATTTTGGACCTGCTTCTAGTTCGACCACACCTTCCTTTTCATTCTTCTTCTCTATCTTTTAGTCCTTTGCATCTTTTGGTTCATGCGACCTTACGGTCCTTGTTATCGTTTAGTCCTTGTCAAATTTCAATCAGAGGCTTTGCATTGGCTTTACATTGTCAACTTATCTTGAAATCTTTGCTTTCTTTTGGTCCTAGCTATCTTTTAGTCCAATACATCTTCAGGTCCCAATTTTGTTCGGTCCAGAAAAGATTTTTCACTTTGTCGTTTTTTAGCTCAGTTATATTTAAATTATATTAAGACGAAATGATTCTTTTGCGACGAATATTCCACGATTGACTTCTCCAGAAGTTAAGCTTTACAATAGTATGTTGGCACTGGATTATTTTCTTAGAAAATCGTGAGATTCACTCCCTTTTCAGTCGGATTCACTCTTTTTGGACAATCAAAACAAAGTATCCATTCAGGTTTGTCAGTGGAGATTCACCTATTTTGCTTTGTGTGCACAACTAGTTCTTCGTAATAGTCACTGACCACATAAATATAACTCGCACGAAATCCTACGGCTAGACAGCACATTCACTGTGAACGTCGTCTTAACAGAAAATAAGAAGCGTCAATCTAGACCCGCTATATCTGCATGTGAAGTTAATCTCATCAGTTCGGTTGTAAACAAATGCTAGTTTGCACACTCGTGTATGACACCAGCTTTTCCTTTCAAGAACGTTCTGCAAAACGTGCTGATCAAGTTATCTGGGCCAGACACAGACTGCACAACCACTATCAAGACACTAGCACGACTCTCGTAGACTACGTGGTGGAACACGGAGCATTCAAGAGCCGCAGGGGTCATGTATGGGCTTCATTTTTTAAATCCCGAGGTGTATAGTAGTACTGAGCTGTACAAGCTCAAGAGGAAGAAGAGCCGATGCTGCAGCTTTAAAGTGTGACGTGCAGCCAATATCCAGAAAAGCACAAGCTTTATCAAAGAGAAACTGTAATTGGTGTCAAGGCAGTTTAAAATTGAATAAAGAAGGTCTACGAAGTCTTCTCAATGTTGCCGAGACCTTCAGTCCTGATCCCATTCACCACCGGATGCATTTTTTCACCGAGCGTTTGCCTGCAATTATGAGCTGGACAGATACCATTCAAGTGCATGCTCATAGGAAAGTATCAACGTGCATCACCTGTACTTGATGTCGGGAAACCTGTTGCTCTTCTGTCAAATCAGGGCTAGGAAGATCTGGAAAGAAGCGTTTCGGAGAATGAGTTTTTTCTACCAACTTTAACTGGGTGCTGCATATCGGTACCCTGATATGTATCCGCTCCTTGACCATGTTCACTGCTAGCAGGACATTTGCTTGCCTTCCTTCTGTCCGTCTCCTGTAGAACCACAACATACAAAACAAAAGATTATGCTGAAAACATCCCATTGATTCGAGCAGTCCTTCCATTCACGAGCTATCAATCACGCTTATCTTCAGCAAAATTGTTATCAGTAAAACAGTCGATGCGTGGCGGTAGATTCGGGCCATCATCTCAATCTAAAAACATTTTCGACTAGTAGTGCCAGCCAAGTAGGAGGAGAAGGTGAGATATTTTAAGTACGCGAACGACCCGATATGTTCTGTCTACAGGCAACAATAATACCGTGTAGACATCTACTTTTATATACTAGGGTAGAACTAGGCTTCGGACGGCCGAGCGGCGTTGCGCAAGGTGTTTTCTCGAGATTATTAGATCCCTCGCATGTCTTTCGCGGCTCTGTAGTTCGGTAGGATCGGCTTGGAGAATCTCCATCCAGTGGTTAAAATCAATGTCGAGGAAGACCGCGGCCTCTGAGACGGCACGGTGCCCCAGGTAGCGTGCACTTGAATGGAGGCGCACGAATCCATAGCGAAATTGGCCAGTCGATCCGCCATCTTGTTGTAGTCGCGGTAGTGATGGCCCCAGCTGGTGACGTCAATATCGTCTGCTTAAACCCGCGCCTCCTGAAAAGTCAATTTCAGGTGTGGTTTGCGAGGGGGGTGATGGGTACGAAGTTGGTATAGCACGAGCGCACTGTCCTTAGTGACATGCAAAGGCGAATGTACTCTATCCTTGGCGGAGATCGGTGACTAGCCTCCGGTATTCCGCGACGTTGTTGGTAGTATAAGTAGGGCTGTAGGACATGCTCGCCACCCACATGATGAAAACGGCGTCCGTCGTAGCGTGCAATTTGACGATAACAGATCCAGCCCCACCCGGTCCGGGATCTATACGCGAATCACCGTCGAAGAACGAAAGGTAAAGAGCGCCTAAGTTACTGTTGCTCGGCAACGCCCGCAACGAGGGGGTTGGTCATCGTAGCACAGAAGAGAGTCAGCAAGGGCCGACCGCACCCGTGAAAGATGCTGGCCATCCGCTCTCATATCTGAGTGGAACGTGGACCCGCGAAAACGAGTGACCAATCGATGGAATCAGGTTTGATCTTTGGCGGTGTGTACCTCCGGCGGCAGAGCTATTTTGTCCATGCGGCGGAGACGCTCGACCCAGGTAGAGTCGTAGAAAAGACAAAAAGCCAAAGCTCACAAGCTGCTGTTAAGGCCGCTTCCTTCGCACCCAACGGATCTTCATCCACGTGGAGAATATATTTCGGAGCGTTACAGCCGCGCTTGGATGACACGGCAAGTCCATTCCAAATACGCAGACTTGAAGGTCATCCTCCTAAATGTCGCCGAGACTTCGCCACCGAGATAGCAGATGATGCCAATGTCGTTGGGCACTAGGCCATGCCAGTCAAGTAGCGCACAATACGATTTGCCAACTTTAAATGTTCAATCGTTATTGTGTGTGCTTGTGGAGAAGC